TTTTGACCCATCACAAGCAGTTCCTCCCCTCTTTGTCCTGGTTCATACCAGGACAACGAGCCGTGTTTTATAAAAAGAAAAGTTTGTAGGGGGATTCTTAGGATTTTTCAACTGCCCCCCAGCAGAAACCGATGCTTGGAGTTAAGTATGGCTTGAGTAATTGAATTTGAAGTGGTAGCTTTTAGACAATTCAAACGAGGGGTGCAGGTTTTGAATCACAGCTCATATGGGAGCTGAGGGTAGGAATGCATGTGTGGAGTGGGATTTTTTTGGACACACAGTTCACTTCTCATTACTCATGTGCAAAAACAATCAGGGATGCTGCCTGGAGTTCATCCGTAGATAAACACACTGTATATGCAAAACCCTGCTTCAGTTCAGGTATGACGTTTTCCTGTTCCTTAGCAACCCCTAGAGAGTCAGGTGGTTTGGTAAAGTTATCAAAATGAAAGAATCCTGAACAGACAGTCCATCTGCTTCTGAGACCAAAGCAAGACTACATTACTTGTTGATATGTTTTTCCCATCACAATAATGTCTCTAGGTTTTATTGGCAAATACAATTTTATGACCGAGTAGTTAAAATGTATAATTAACAGAAATCTTGTGCATGATAGAGGATATGGAGACAGTAAATTTCAAGAAACTTTCAAGAGGATTGTAAAAGGTTTTAAAAGGTTAAACATGGCTGAGGAATTATCTGATTGATTTTTCTGATTTTCTGATGTCTATATACTCCAGGCCTGCACAGCATTAAACAAGATACGTTTCTATTGAATGTAGTGTGTGTCTGTGTGTCTGTGTGTGTATATAGGTACATATATATAAAATATAATATAATAATAATTAAAAATTATATTGTGACCGTTTAAGGAAATAATAAACTGCTGGTTAGTCAGATGTGATGATGTAATAACAGTTTCAACATGAACTAAACTTTACAATCTAACTGGAAGAGTTGTTTCACAGCTACTCACAGGTAATGATTCAGTCTTTTAAGGTGATGAGCTTAAAACAAAGATTTGATGTGCTTCATAGTTAAGGTGGAACATCACAACTACTGGTCACTATGTACCAGCTGTCAGTCATTTACACTAATGAGGAAGATACAACACTAACGAGCTGTGCATTGAGATTGTTAATCTAGAGAAAGATTTACAACTCACTTGGTCTTTTTAAAAATGGCAAAAAAAGCGACAATCCAGTCTATATTTAAAACCACCATAATGATATGAAGAGTTGTTCATTTTCGGATGAACCCATTTTAGACTGATTGTAAATCAGCATGCTTCCAGCAAATTACCCAGACAACAGTCAAGAATTTCATTTCAGTTAATCAAGAGCAGGAGTTACCACTAATTGTCAACTCCTGTCTAGCAGACACTAGCCGAAGACAAATTTAAATTTCAAGTCACCCACAAAGTCATGAGATGACAGTGAGCCAGCATGTACAACATACGTTTTTCACAGCAGACATTTTTACACGTCAACCAGGAAAAGCAAAAGGTATAATTAATAACATTAACATTGTTGTGCATGCTTGCTGAGTGACACGGCTTACACTTAAATGGAGCGCAGCCATTGTTAATGTTATCAGACACACCCGTGATTTTCCTATTATGACAACACAAAATGTCCACTGTGGAAAAGGTCGACACCAGGACCCTGAAACTGAAGCTTTTGCTCTAAGGATGAACAATTAATTGAAATATTGTTGAAATCACAACATGGCCAAGTGGCCAACATCCAAGTCACAGGAGCTGCCTTTTTTTTTGATGCTACAGAAATGCCCTGGCGTACAAATCAAGGGAACGTGCTTGTTTGGTAAAGACTAACGAAAATCACATCATCATCATTTTCCAGTCAAAACAAAATGCAAATATTACAATTCCCACTAAGATTGTGACTCATATCGCAATATCTGTCAAAATAACCCATATATGATTTTTTTTTTTTTTGCATATCATTCAGCACTATTTTAAACCCGTGCTTTTCCTACTATATGACATGTCATGTGCATGCTGACTCACTGGCATGGCTTACAGGGAAACATATTTGGAACACAGTCATCATTAATTGGTAGTCATTAGTTGGTAATTGCACCTGTGCTTCCCCTGCAACGACAGGTAACAATATATGAGACTACATCAAACCCTGCTTTTCTTTTGATCATATCCAACCTACATGCCATGTTATGAATCACAAATTAAGTACTGAAGTATAAGCTTGAACACGAAACAAAAATATTTGTTGCCATCTTAATAAATGAAGAAACCAGGCTAAATATGCCAAAATATACCATGACTACCTTGAACACTTTCTATAACCCCGGCAGTAAAATCAGAACATCATCCAGTGTAAGCCCCTACACTTTGACAGCAATAGGACACTCCTATGGTAAATACAAGCCTTTCCAGAAACTCCCAAAAATGTTAACAGACACAAGCCTGATGTGGTTTGGAAAACAATTTCAGAAGATTACATTCCTTTTTTGTCAACAGGAAGTTGTAGGCATATATGTTAGAGCATGTATGCATGCAGGGCTGGTACAGTGTACTTTTTAAAATTGTGTGTCACACAGAAATCAGTGCAGGGAAAACAAATCTTTCAAAGGCTTTGCCATATGGTGCTGTGATGCATGCCGAATCAAATTTCATGCCAAATCAAACAGAGTAAAAAGTGTCTTTTCTTTCAGGAAAAAATATATAAATACACGATATACATAATTGTTCGTTGTCTATTCAATTGATTTGTGAATCTGAGGTTTGTATAACTATATAGCAAGAGCTGTTCTGTACCAACTGGTTTAAAAACACAAGCAAACCTTGGTTGACTTCATGAAGCTGCATTGAGACTCTCCATCAGCTTATCGCCACAGTGAGGGTTGATGCCAGTTTCATCTCCCTCCAACATGTTTTTCCTACCACTGCCTCATGGAAGTTTCTGTCCACACATACTTTTAGCTCCGCACACATAGTTGTCAAACATTAAGAGATTTCTACATATGACCAAGTGAGGTTTCAGGCAAACCACAAGAGAGGCCCTGGTCTGGCAAGAGAAGATTAACTATAGAGTGATGGAGAACAAGAGGAACCAAAAGGGACAGAGCCAGCCTACGGTCTAACACCAGACAGATTATATAGAGGGGAAAGGGAGCTGAAATGTTTTTATACAGCACAATAAGTAATACTTTGATGCTCTTTTCAAAAAGCCAAGGGGAAAAAAATCATCCAGTTTACCTGTTTACACATTTTAAAAGCATTGTTACAGTGCATGTAGCGCTCCACAACACATGGAAAAGTATCTGGTATATTTGCCGTGTATGTACATAAATGTGGTTCTCATGATTGAGTTAAATCATCAGAGGTCCGACACCAAGTCACAAGCAAACCAGCTGCTTCTGTATGGTGGCTGGCACTGAACAACTCTGCATATACAGTGGGAGGAGGTTAGTCAACTTCCTGCTCAGAGCCAGCTGATACTTTCTCCAGGATAAATGGACAACAGAAACAGATTCTACTGACTCCTACTCCTGCAATCACATCTGATGCAAAAATGCTGACGCCACTTCAAGTCGATTCATTCATGCGTCATGGGCTTCCTCGCTTTACAAAGACATTATGCATTAGCACTTCAACCCCTTCATTAGACTGTGCAATGGTCATCGCATGGTAAATGACTAGTTTCAAACTGCACCCTCAACACTTTTTTCTGCAAACCCTAAATTAACAACTTGAGAAAAGCACAATTCTGTCTATTTTGCGTGTCTAGCGTGTTTTTTAGTCTTTGTGAACAGTATGGCTCAAACACTAACGGCTTCAATGAGGCGAAGACGGTTACATATGCCTCCACACTGCCCCTGACACCAAACCATAAACAATACACAACTGTGTGCGTCGCCTGCAGTTACATCATTCAACCCAACATCACTATCAACACACAGGACCAAAATAACAAAATAACCTCCCTGCAGTTGGACTTTAACAACACTCAACTACACTCAACTACACAGACCCCATTCTAGTTGTGGTTTTTAAATGTATGGTTTAGGCCTTTCCTCCTTTCCAATATTCCTGGAGATGTATCAGCATATCTTTCTTGATGCAGCCCAAATTTGAAACACACCACAACTGTAAAGCTGCTTCAAGCTTCAAGTCTGTTTTCTTAATGACGGAACTTTTGACTTTATTGCCGGAGGGGATTTTTTTGTGATATCTACTGTTCACCAACTACATCACAGTTACACTGATTTAAATCAAAGATCCACTTGTGACATGTACATTTTTGTCTAATTTTCCACCTTCATCTATGTAGTCATTCTTGTATCTACAGGAGAGCTCATAAAAGCCAATTACTGCCCAGCTGTCTACTATTTTTGTGACTGCATGAATGGCATGAATCTGTTATACGCCCACAGCATGAGGCCTTTTGAATAAGACATGTTATTTTCTTCTGTTATGTTCTCATTATTTTAGGAAATGCAGAGACAGTGTCCAAGATAAATTTGCAACTCACAACAGTAAGGGTGACTTTTCTTCAGATCAGTATCTTAGACGCCTTACTGAATTTGTGTAAAGACATAATCTCATCTTTTTTACAGCCTCAAGGCTACTGCTTCACTTCAACAGTCACTTACCATTGGTTAACCACACAATTAGCACACCAAATGCATCAAAAGACGTAACTGATTATGTGTGCAGCACATGTAGTCCATTTTAAGTTATTATTGTTAACTTTACAATAACATACAGTGGAATTAAACTCAAATTATAAAGTTGTCCTATTCTGTATGTAGCACTATGACTGCTTTTAAAAACATAGTCAGATTAAGTTGTGATGTTTCATCAGACTTCAGTAAAGTTTTAGAACAGAAAATATAGATGTAAGGGGCACCCAAGCTACATCACAACACACACACACACACACACACACATACACAGAAAGACACACTGATTACAAAGTTTGAAGACAGCTGGTTTTACATGCAGGAGGCCTTCTTACCCAAAAGCTTCTTCACCTCCTCCACACTCATGTATATGTTGACGCTAGGATGGTTGTTGTTGTTGACGCCTACGGTGCTGCTCGGGCTGGCGAGGCAGCCGGACCCTTCCAGCAGCAGGAGGAAGAAGAAACCCCCAAGCCTCCACAGCACCGAGTGTGGCCAACCTCGGGACTCAGACGGGCTGCCAGAGCCGTGAATCAACCCCAACATAGCAGTGGTCCTCTGGCTCACAGTTGTTCTCGGTGTTCCCCGGTCGCCGAATTCTTTCTCATCCGTATCTGAAGTTAATCCCAGGAGGCAACATTACTAGTTACTTTACGCCACAGCGCCACTTGTAGCATTAACTCCCTTTCCACTTAGCCTGTTTTTGTCTTGTCTTGCTAGCCGAGAGAAGCTAAGTTAGCCGGGGCAGGCTAACTTTAGTCGGGCTGTGCTAACCGTCCGCGGTCAGACTGCCGTTGAATGTTTGAACGTTCGGGAGATTTACGACGTTTTCCAAGCACATAAAATACACACCGGATACCGCCACATTGAGGCGCTTGTATTTTTTCAGGCTAAAGTGAAAGAAGGAAAAAAAGGTCCCCTTAGTAGCAAACTAGCTAATACATCCAGCTTTCTCCCTCCATGGTCTTTCCTCCCGTTGCCTTTTCCTCACTATCTCAGTTTTCACTCGGAGCAGGAAGGGGGGCAGCGGGGGCGCTCACTGCTCCTAACAGGAGTGGAATGCTGCCTTTAAGTACTGTCGGAAATATTTTACAATCTCTGTATACGTTAACCAACCAGAAAGGGTAAAAACCTAATTGAATTTGTCAGATTAAGCCATATCTATACCTATATCTACATTACTGTTATTGTGTACTTATATTAGTAGTTAGTAGTAGTTGTCACCAATGAATGTACACCAGCAACGGTACCACCATATCTCATTCAGAGGTATAGTATCAATCAAGTCTATACATTTAATACGGTTAACGTGAATCCGGTATCAATAAGCTGTCGAAATATCCACTTCACTTGGCTTTTAATATTCGAGCATCAGCACTCCAAACGGCAGGGAGGGCACGTACAACGGCGGACATTCCGAGGTTAAGTGAAGGCAGCACAAAAAAACTCGAGTCAGTCTGGAGAACGTGTAGGGATGATCATCTTAAATATGCACTAACGTAAATATTACAAGACAATGATGAGTCCGCGTTCAAGAGGTAGGGCGGCCTATTTTCACCGAGCCCTCCAAAACGAGTGGTATGACATCAACTTTTAAATCAAAAGATTAGATTAAATTAGTTGAATCCTGCATTACTATACAATGACTTTTTATGCCTTACTATTCTATGACTTATGACATATATATGACATATTTGTCCGTATGTCAAGAGTGATGTTACCGTATGTCATTTATAAGATGATATATTGTTATAACATATATACATTGTCTGGATACATGAACATATAAGTTTATAACATATATAAAATATTCATAGTAAAATGCAACTTTATGAAAACAACATGCTTATTATAATTATATAATTATATTTAAATTATAATGTGTGTATATGATTTTCTTAATAATTTCTTTAAATTTAAACATACATATCTCTTTTATATTTACACATATAATATGAACATATACTGACAGGCTTTGGGATGGATATATATTTATGTAACATATAAACCTGTAGTATAAACAGAAATACTAAAATACATGTTTCTATTAGCTAGACATATATGTAAATATATGATATTGTTTCTCACAGGTTTCATATGTCATTTTTTACATATATAGGCTATTCTTTAAATACATATATTATTTTACTTCATATGTGCATATATTTCATATATGGAAATTCAAAACAAACACATATTACATTTACATATAGGCATTTCTGAATGTAAATTCAGGTCTTATATGTTAATAAACCATTTGGTTGACAGCATTAAAAAGTCAATCTCTTTGTTTTAGAAGGGTCCCAGGGTTGTTGCGTCCCCACTATAGACTAAATATGACACACCACATTACATCACACAACATTATATTGTAATTTATAACCCAATTAACACAATAAATGATGGTTTTACAGTTATAGCTGTACTGCAAGTGGTGCTATAACTGTGACTATATAGGTTAGGCACAATATACACATGATGGAGAACACACGAGTGTCTTAGTAAGGTGTTGAGGATGAATAACTTCAGTGCTGCCTGGCACAGCCTCAACAAGTCTCTGGAGCTCCTAAATTTTCCATCTGGTGAATGTGAACACCACAGCATCTAATTTACATCACTGTCATACTGATCAAACCCGCATTTGAATTTGTATGTTTCTTATTCATTAATGTTTTTCCTTTGGTTTGTTTGTTGTGTGTGTTCAGTGTGAGGGGGAGACAGAAGTGTCATTTCAGATGACAGGTCGTGCTGCTATCGTAGGGCCAACTGCATGACTGTATTTTTCTGAATCTGTGGTTCCTTGGGTGGATCAGTGAAAACTGATGATCAGACCTGCCCACTGTGTCTTGAGTCTTTTGGGCATGTCTCTATCTGCCTCATTTGGATTAAAGACAAAGCAAAGAGTCTTTTTTCTCCAGTCTGTGCTCACCATTTGGTGATACAGTTACCCAGTGATAAAATCTAAACTAGGCACGGACAATGGTAACTGTTAGTCTGAAGGACAGTGTTTCTTCTTTTCTTTTTTATCTGCAAAAGAATCAACTGCTTCACAATTAATCATGCACTACAACTGACTTTGGTTATTGTTTCCTTTTGGTGCTAAACTATTGTTAAAATACTTCCAATCAGGTTATTTTTTAGCAATTTTTGAACTGACTGACCCGTTGAATAACTGACAACAAAATGACGGATTAAACAAAGTATATCAAGTGGTGATTTAAAATAAAATGATACCAGGAACCATAAGATATTGACAAAGTCTGTGTGATGGTGATACTGTCTCTTAAAGGAATTAATTTGCTTGAATGGAAACATTTAGCATTTTTTATTATTTAATAAAAAAATCAATCTAAAAAAAGACACCGGAAACACATTTTAACATTTTTATTATTAAAATATTCACCTACAAAATGGCCTATAAACACTATTTACAGAGTAGCGAGCAGTGATGCCTGCTGAGACACAGAGAAAGATATTTATACACAGAAAACACTGTGCACCATTGTCAGAAGAGAAGAGATGAATTTATGGGGTGTGGAAAAAAAATATACATTTCCCATTGTCTTTATAAGGAGATGAGGGGGCTGGTATAAGGAAAAGACTGGGACTCATAACGCTCTACAGTTATTTCCCTGAGGGACAAACCTGCAGCTGAATCACAAATAAAAATAAAAAAACCTCTCCTAATGTGTCAGCATGGACATGGAAATGAGGTATATAAGGTCTCTGATGCACTGCAGTGGACTGCTTACCATCAATAATTGCATACGAGTGTTTGTGTGAAAAAAGTCAGTCGTCAAACATCGGAAATGATAAATGATTTGGGGCCATTTTCACTTGATTGATCGAAGCCTCTTCGTGAAGCACGGAGCTACAAACGCAGCTGTCAGGGATTAAGAAACGAAAGCTTTTTTTTTTGTTTTGTTTTTGTTCAGATGAATGACGATCTGTGTGTGAAACATTACAGTGGGTTCTGACAGGGTTTTTCAGCACAAAAAAATGACCATAATCAGTTACTTCAAGTAGATTATAAAAAAAAAAAAACCCAAAATTGAAGCAGGGAGGTTTTTCACATGACAGCGATGACAGTCCTTTCATCAGTATCCAAGTGCTCTAGAAAAAAAGTGAGAAAGAAAAAGACTCAAGAGTGATTTTTAGGAGAAGTGTTGAACGTCTTGTCATCTGCTACAGTAATAGAGAATATTACATAGTTGGAGGAAACATTTTAAATATCATTATGTTGATTGTGTTAAAGAGAACAAACCTTCACTGTTGTCTGTTTGTTCTTCTGACTGTTAAGAAAGTTAACACCAGTGTGTGAAAATAATCGCATTGGTTATATTTGCTAAAAATTGACTTCATCAAAGTTCAGGCAGCGTTTTGAACTCACCCTGACTCTTCTTGGGAAGCACCGGTTCACAAATCTCTCGATAACAGACATCCTGCTGTACTTTATATGTTCTTTTGTACCTGCGGAGAAGACGGAAAAAAAAAAAAAAAAAACCACGCTCATCTATTTGATCCATTAAATTACACATAATCTCCGCGTTATTTAAGATGACACCTGATACGACTCACAGGTAGTGGCACACTCCGCCCTCCCACACAGGCACACTCTTCGTTTCAGAGTAGATTCGGGTACACGGGTGTGGCACTCGCTGGCACGCTGCAAACACAACATAAGGTATAAATGTTTTAAGTACTGTCACCGAGGAACGGTCTGCTGGATGGTTTAGGAGTCATGTGGGATGGAGCTGGGCCCTTCTCCGCGGCTGATGGATGGTTTTGGGAAAGGAATGTTTAAACAATCTGACGCTGGATGTTTAGGTGAAGAGAAGAACTGAAGAGGGGTGAGGGTATGTCCAGTGTCTCCTCACACACACACACACACACACACACACACACACACACACACACACACACACACACACACACACACACACACACATCGAATTATCAGTGAATTTAAACTGACATTTCCCCAGTATTTCACTGTGTGTTTGGGATGAGGTGAGAGCGTTTGGCCTGGATGTAGATTAAAATGTGTTCTCCAGTCAGTGTGAAAAACTTTAAAGATACTTTTGGTTAAAAAAATGAATTGAGGGAAACTGATAATTCATACAAGCATCCATCGGGAAGGGGACACTAATGATCTAAATAATGATCCATATTAACACATTCATGCTGAGTGAGAAATTACATTTCATTCACGCACCTAGTTGTATCTGTGCATCAATATTGGAGGCATATAATCAATTACTTTGATGTTTCCATTATCATTAACTCCCAGAAAGGCAGTGGACACTGTAGATAATGCATTAATGCCACTGGCCGTCTTCCATATTGAGCAGCAGGAGTAATAATCAAAAGAGTTTTCCTCCAGGCAGCTGGCAGTTTCCCAGTTACAGCCTGTCACAGACACATTGAATACAAGCTTGTGGCCGGAGTCACAGCTCCTGTGCATGTATGAGGATGAATGACAGTCTTCTAAAGATCTGGGAAATTGGATCTCAGTAGACAAATAAGGTTTTTATTTATTTCATTTTTTTTTTCTGGTTTTACTCACTTCAGTACATCTCCTCTGTCTGAGTTTGTTTTTAGCATTATTTTATCTTCTATCTTTATCTTTGTTTTCCCGTCTTCCGTGTTTCCTCAAAGCAAATTTATGAGATTAACAATGGTGTTTCCTCAGTTCCTGTTATTATTGCCTCATCTTTTATTGTTTTTATTTACAACTTAGTCATTTATTGCTCTGTGTGTGGACGGGGGTGGGGATGGTGGTGTGTGTGTCAAGAAGGGGGGGGGGTTTGTTTTTATTGCTTTTATTCTGTAAAGCACTTTGTGTTTCCCTGTTTGTATGAAAAGTTCCATACAAATCAAGTCTGATGGATGTACTGATTGATTGAAAACGCACTTTATTTATCTGAAATATCTGACTTATTTAAATTCTCATACGGACACACACTGATTTTCTGCTCTTATGAGATAATGTCACTTTACTTTTGTGATTTTAAGTGGTTTCTAAGTTTAACATTCCACCATTCAGGATTAGATGACACAAGGAAGAAACATCAAAGATGAAGTAGATAGAGAACAGAGAGGGATATTGTCCACAGATAATACACGACTGTGTGCAGAACTCTGTTTTCAACATTCAAAAGAAACACTGAGTTATAAATATAACACTGGGTCCTTGAAAAAGAAAGAAAAGCAGCACAGTGTAAATAATACGGTGCTTTGTGTCGACACTGTAGTCACGGTGGACGTTCATGCCCCCGAGCCTTGAAGTTAACCGCACCATTCATAAATGTCAGAGGGGTCAACTGTCAGTGGAGCATGTTTCCTGCTTTTAAAAAAAAAACCAGAGGTCTATGCATAGCTCAGAGCTCTCTGACACGACGTTTACACGATGAAATGCAAATCTAACATATATTATACTTCCAAGTTCACACCCCGAGATGCTCCGGTTACGTTGAGAGGAAGCAGAAATACAACCTGTGGGAGCGCATGGACAGGAGTGTAAATCCCGCACTGACACTCAGGACGCTCACACAGCGGGTGAACGGACATCTGTCATTAAAATGTCTTTGGAAGAGCAGGTACACACCTATTCCACTGGCATGAGGGCTACCAGCTTATTTAAAGCCTGGAGATGTGGGTTTGTTTTTTCCTTGAAATAGCATCAACTTATCTGCCAATTTTCTACATCATTCATCCTGTTGACAGAGTTTCCAATTCAGCCAAGCGGCCTCTCTTTAGCCTGCGGGAGGAGGGCCATGCGGGCACAGGGAGACTCCGCACAGAAACCTCAGACCCTCCTGTGGCGAGGTGACAGCGGTCACAGCACCACAGAGCCGCTGTGCAGCAAACATCAAGTTTCTTTCTTATGATTGGGCCTTTGATAAGCAGACTGATTTGTCATTGACTCATGGTCCCCAGAGGAAGAAGATTTTTCACTGAAGATTTACATGGATTGGTAAAAAAATAAATTAAATAAAATTTCCACAGCATGTATTCCTCTGACTTCAGGTAGCAGCACCAAGTTGTTTTGACTAAAATGCCTTGAAAACTATTGGATGGATTGTCATGAAATGGTGTACAGACATTCGTCTTCCTCTCAGGATGAACTGTAATAACTTTGGTGATCCTCTAGACTTTTCATCTAGAGCCATCATCAGGTCAAAAGTTTAATTTGTCCAGTGCTCTGGTTTATGACCAAATACCTGCGCAGCCAAAGACATACCCATCAGCCCCGGCTTAATATTAATTAATTAGGACGGTGACTGGTAAACATTACACCTGCTGAATATTGTTAACCATGTTAGCATGCTGATGTTAGCATTTACTGTATCACACTGCTGTGGCTAAGTGCTGTGCAGCCATGCAGAGCTGGTACAGTGGTTTCTTAGTCTTGCTATGACAACAAGACTTCACTGTTTTAAAGAAAACCTCTAGGTGTGTACCCTGCCCCCCACCCAGTGTCAGATGCAATCCGCTCAAGCCCCCTGCAACCATGTAAAGGATAAGCAGAGATAGATAATGGATGGAATACATGATGCTACTGACTTCACTAGAGACAGAAATCAGTCTCACTAGAGAAAGTCCTTGTTCAGTGTCCTGAATACTCATTAGCCGAAAAGCGGCCGTGTGTATGTGTGGAGAGGAAGCACATAAACTTACACAGTTCACACTGTCTGCCCTTGAACCCCGCTGTGCAGTCGCAGATGAAGGAGTCACCTCCGTTCACACATGTACCCCCGTTCTGGCAGGGCAGGCTGCGGCAGTCCTGGGGCAACTCTAAAAGACGACAGCTGCCATTAACATCCACAGTACAGAATGAGTGAGGGGCTCAGGTTTCAGGCCCACTACTCAACATTATCTACTGCTGATACCGTGTGTAAATACCCTCTGACTCTAACACCACTCAACAATCCGCTTTCCTGAAAGTTGCATCTCTCTCTCTCTCATGGTCATCCTCCCTGGTATTTCAATGACAGCACTTGGGCGAACACTCGTAACGCCAAAGACAAATAACATTTTACAGATTAATGAGTGGTGTCTTTCCAAAAGCACGTTAATCTAATAAACGTGTGACACGTCAGCTGGGATCAATCACGTGTGCAGATGTCACATGTGTTGGTGCAAAGAGCCAAAACACCTACCAGGCTTCGTTCTTAAACCTTCCTCTTGAATCTCCAGTGCGAGGCTGATTTTGTTTGTTGTTTCTTCCATCTTCTCTAATCTAATCGGCGGGTCAGGTTCTGAAAGGCAAAACGTTTCCTGTCGTGAAATCAGTGTAAGAAAGACAAAATGAATGACAGACTGCAGCCGGACTCACAGCTGAACTGGGATGTCGTTGTAAATGAGACACTTTAAAGGTTTTTTTTTTTGCTTTTTTTTTTGTACATTCTTCGGCCTGGAACAATGAATCACGACATTACTGATTTGACGATCTGGCCAAAATCATATTATGACATCATGGGTGTAACAATGTTAAAAAGGGGGCAGAACAATCCTAGAAAGGAAGCTTATTCCCTACAGCACATGATAACATCTGTAAAACTGTTTTTCTGTTTGGACCATAGGCTACAAACCTCTGCACTGCATTAACTTAAAAGGTGAAAAATACATTAGAAAAAATGATCATGTAAAAAAATCAAAGGAGAAAAAAAGAAAAAGTAGATTATTCCTGAAAGTCATTATTTTCTGACTTGTCTCTCTTTATCAAACGCTGCTCGATAAAGTGGACAACATGCGTCAGATAAAGTGGTTGTGTTTGTGTGATAGCAGAGAGCCCAGTTTACATTAGAGGACCAGCTATATTTCATGCAGACAGGCCTTGGTTAGGACCATATGGTTACAGGACCACGACTTAAGTTATTCCATCTGCATCAAGATAAGCAAATAAGATAACTCTCTCATTGTTTGGACATCCTGAGCGAGTTTCAATGCCGTGTTGTTGCATGTTAGTTTAATAGATGTTAGGGAATGTAATAGTTTCCTGCTTCGAAGCAGAATAAATTACTTTACTGGTTAGTTATGTCAAATTTCTAACATGGCAGCGTTACACGTAGCGCGAAGTACTGTGTAGCATAACACATTAAATGTTTTAGAAGATTTTGTCAAACAGTGTTATAGTCATGACTCGCTACTAAACGCTCCGACTCGTACTCACTATTCCGATGTCGAATGGCTTTTCGAGGTAAGTGAGTGAACTTCGCTGTTATCTTTCCCCTCCTGTCAATGAGCTCTGTGTATCTGCAAGACAGAAGAAACAAACAGATGGAAACACACTCGTATCTTTGTAGTATGTATAATGGTGTTTTTTTTGTTTTTTTTATGGCTGCAAACTGTACCTGGGCAGTTCCTCTGAGTTCTCTGTTTCTGCTGTTCCCCCCAGGTCCTGAGGCTGGGATGGGGGAGGTGTGCGTCCCACCTGACCCCCCTGTCCAGTTGCTGTCGGCCTCTCTCTTCTTGGTGATCTGGCCTCCATCGGCACTGCGTCGGAGGGGAACGAAAAAGATCATCTGTTTTTAAAAATCACCCGTTTATAACCGAATGAGAGATTCTGGATTCGAACTAAAGATTTCCAACTCGATGGCTCATTGTGATGCAGATGGAAACGTTAAGAGAAACTCTCCCAGACACTCACAGGTAGTGAAGGCCAAGTGCTGAGGAACGCTGTGGATCTGCTCCTGCCCTGTGTTTTTGACGGATGTGAGAGCTACGTAGTAGTGCTGTCCTGGTGTCAGTTCACGGAGGGTATATGATCCTAACTTCCCATTGGGCAGGAAGCGACTCCTGGTATTCAACCCTCGGGTCACGTTGACCACAAAGCCATCTGGGACGTTTCTCGGGTGGCGGCTCCAGGTGATCAGCGCTGAGTTAGTGGTCACATGTGACAGGGAGAGGTTCTGCGGGGGGAGGGGCCCTGAGGGAAACACATGTAGATGGATACCGTGAACTTTTTCTTTTTCTTTGCTGTGGTTTAAAACGATGTGTTAACCAAACCTGTATGTTGCTGTTAGTCTGTCAAGCATATCTCTGCTAGCTCTAAAAACACTATCCCTTTGAATAAATTAATCCCAATTTGTACTTACTGATGAATCAGTAAATTAAATATCTTATTTAAGCGCCATGCATTGAAAAGGTAATTTAATCCACATTAATCATCGTCATGTCAAACAGACTGGGTTGTCCGGCTGAACTTAACTTGATTATAATAAAGTAGAATATAAAATACATTTAATTCTCAATCTTATTCAAATTACACAGTCGACACTTTCTGTCCTTTGCTGAGAATGAGTATGACGTCTGTGTCTGCTCAGGATAAGGGTGACATACTGTTCACGATGGTCAATGTCCTTAATAACATAATATATTCTATGTTTTGGTTTGTTTAATGTTCCTTCTGTCTTAATATTCCTGTATATTTGTTATTAATAGGTTATGTTTGTTTTAGTGAGTTTACAGTTGTTTATAAAAGAATCAATGAGCAATTAACTCATCCTTAAATGTGCTCACACAACTATATTTGACCGTGTTAGCATTTATCCTTTACTGACTATGTGAACGTTTAATCCTTATATGGGGCAAAGTTAAAGAAAAATCGATGATAACAAAACTGTGGTGATTAAAATGAAGTCAAACACATGAAAACATATAATCATCATCTACTGTAATGTACATGTTCTCTGGTGACATGCAGAGACGTGCAACGTCAGTTCTAAATCAGAAACGATCAAATGGAAATATTAAAACAATGAATATCACCATTTATATCATCGTAATCCTTTCAAAAGTAACACATGCAGTTGCACTGACAGCTAAATGGTGAGGTAACCTACTTGTCCAGAACTGCAGGGGTCCAGCTGAGTGGCTGGTGGAGGGAAACTCATCCGGTCTGATTCCACTCTGAGTCAGCACATCCACTGTGTACATCTGACCAGGACGCAATGAGCTGGTGAACAGAAAGAGGTACACAGACATGCACCACAGTGAACAGAGCGTCACGGCTTTGGAAGAGTGATGAACCAGTGCCCTCTAGTGGTTGCACGGTATATTACCCAAAGCCATTCAAAGTGCAGCGGCACAACAGCACCATTTAGTGGACGTAAGTCATGCTGGAGGTCGGTACAGTGATTGGACATTAGGGGTTATCTGTGACCCTTTTGAAGCGACATTCATAAATCTGACCTGAAGGTGTGCTCAGTGGTGCTGGTGTTGAGCACCGCAGTGCGAGCCTCGCTCCCATCTGAGGGCAACAAAGACACGTGCACCCTGCTGACTGCGGCGTGGCGAGCTGCCTGGACCAGCCAACTGAGCCAGACCTGAGATGAAGACACATTGACCACCTGCAGCTGCTCCACCCGCCGAGGTCCTGCCACGGAGACACACACATTTAACACGTGGAAAATCACACAAGGAATTCAAACCCATGTGGATACACAGACAGCAACACTCGTGGCGTCATCTTACTACTGCTGCATTACAGAATAGTGCTCACTGGTGCGTATTAGTGCGGTGGCAGGCTGGCTGGAGTCTTTCCTGTTGCTGCTGCGTTTGATGGAGTAGGTGGAGATGTTGTAGAGCAGGCCGGGCACCAGGCCTCGCATAACGTGGGTGGACTGCTGCCTGTCCAGGTAATCCGTTTTGGGGTCGCTGCGGCCCAGGGGAGCGTAGGTGACGGCGAACCCGCTGATCAGGCTGTGCGAGGGCTCCGGCTCATCCCAGCGCAGCTCCACCTCGTTCTCCTCCACACGCAGCACGTGGAGACCAGAGGGAGGCAACAGGTCTGGGAACAGTGGAAAACTGTATATGTCTAATCCATACGTTAAATAATTACAGAGTTGTCTTCGATGAGCTGCAGAGCATGGGGTGACAAATGACAAAGATTTTTGAGGTGTGGTGTGACTCTTACTGACCTTTCTCACAGTCTTTGCCCGTGTATCCTGTTTTGCAAACACAGTTGTAGTTCCCTCTCCTGTCAGTCTTGCAGACGCCACGGTTTCCACAAAGCTGCAGTACACATGGGTCTTCCACTGGGGGGCGACAAAGATAAACAGTTGCTCCAATATGGTTCATGCACAACTGTTTGCATAAAGTTTCTGTGAATTTGCCCTTAACATTAACAAAACAGACTTGTGAGTCAGTCTGAAAGACACTTACACATCTGGCACTGGTCCCCAAAAAAGCCGTCTTTGCACACGCACAAGTAATGCCTCCTGTAACCCCGACACACACCTCCATTTAGACAGGGGTTGGAGTCGCACGCGTCCTGCTCTGCACACAGATATTTACAGCAGAATGTGATTGCCGTCCTGAATAATCTGTATGTTGAAATATGTAAACTTTAAAAAGTAATATAGCAGGTCGACTAAACGCTTTACCTATTTCACAGCTGCGGCCTTTGAAGCCTTGTGGACAGTGGCACAAGTAGGAGCCAGGCTGGTCCTCACATGTCCCGCCGTGCTTACAGGGCTCCGACAGGCATTCATTTATGTCTTCAGGGAGAGGAAACACACATATACACAGGTACTTAATACAATATAATAATAATAATAATAATAATAATAAACTTTATTTGTATACCAGCTTTTTTACAAGTGGTACAAAGGGCTTCACATGAAAAGAAAAGACATAAAATTAACATAAAACATTGTTAAAAAGCTTTGAAAAACGTTAAAAACATAAATGATAAAATAATGAACAAAATAATAAGTCATTAAATAGGCAGGGATTTAAAAGAAGTGCTGAGCCGTGCATAAATGTGGCGCAAAAGTGCAAATTTCAGAGCTAGTTAAAAAGCTAAAGTGAAGAAATAAGTTTCGAGCTTTTTACTTAAGTGAGCAGATACATTTGAATTTCAGCATTTCACATTAGAAGGGCGTGATTAGTACTAGTACCTGTTTGACAGCGATTTCCACTGAAGCCATCGCTACACTCACACTGGTAGGATCCGACCTGGTTTCGACACGTACCACCGTTGAGACACGGCTGTGACAGGCACTCGTTGATCTCTGCAACGATAAGACGCGAGACGCTCGACATCAGCCTGTATGTATAAACTGTAATAACTGGAATCTTGTTTATTAGGATTTTTTCATTAAAAGTCTGTTTTTGTTCTGAGTGTTAGTGTGTTACAGACCCTCACAAATGGGTGGCTGGCTCCAGTCTCCCTGAATACCACAGATGCTCTGGGTGGCTCTGGGCACTGGCGTGAAGCCGGAGTGGCATATATACACAGCCATGGAGCCTGGTGTTGTTGAGGAGAACTGGACCTCGGCGTGCTTCACTTGCGGGGGCGGCCCACAGCTCAGCTCTGAAATGAATACAAACACGCTGATAATGTCAGCACGGCTGCATAGTAACACAAGCTCACAAACACTGGGGCTTAAAGGAGCTCATCCAGGACATACTAATGGCAACAGAGGTGTTTTCCATCCAGCCGCTCTGTTTTCGTCCTCCTAAAATTACCTCCCGCATACTGTTGAAGTGTGCAGACGTGAATCATCAAGTCTAATCAGGTCTCACTTTATATAGATTATGCAGCAGTTCTATATCTGTATATGTGGGGCCTCCAGTGCAGCAACACTGCTAAGATTATCTTCAGATGGAAAGCCGGTATCTCTACACTTAGCGGCTCAGGAGATCCCCTACTTGCACCGATCTATTAAAGTCAACATCACAGTGAGACTTGGACATCATTGCGTGGTGACAGACAAGTCTGCTTACCTGATGAAGTTTGCACTGAGCTCCTGCTTATTTCACAGTGTCTGCCGCTGAAGGCCTCAGTGCATTCACATTTATACTTCCCTATGTAGTGGAAACATGTCCCCCCATTTAGACAGGGGCTCGAGGCACAGGGGTCTGGCTTCCCTGTAAGAAAACATACACACTGAGAATTAATAATAATTATAATAATGATGATAGTAGCAAAAAATAAAAGAAGAAGCCGAAGTTGAAGAAGAACTTAATATGTAGAGCAGCCCAAAGATGAAGCCCAAAAAGCTTTACAAGACATATCAAGACTTGATAAAAGAATACAGATTAAAGCAATGTGTAGATATATATGTATATATATGACTACATATCTAAAACTAAGATCCAAGGAGAGGGCACTCAACAGTTTAGGGCCATAAAAACAGAAACTCTACTTCTAAGAAAACATGTAAAAGAAAGGCGGCGGAGGATCTGACAGTTCTTGTTGGAACATAAAAATGAAAGGCAGACACTTAAACACGAAGGTGCGGGGTGAGGTGAGGCTTTATAAACAAGTAAAAGGACTTTAAATCATCCCTAAAAGATACAGGTAGTCAGAGCAGTGTCGAGAGCAGTGGAGTAATATGATCTCTCTCTCTTTTTCTTTTTTTTTTTTTGAGGCCAAACACGGCAGGTGCATTTTGAATTAACTATAATTTTCTTAAAGACTTTTAGGGTAACCCAATAAAAGGAGAGTTCCAATAATCTGAGTGACTCGTAATAAAAGCGTGTATGTGCTTTTCAGCATCGTTGGTAAAGTAAAACATTGTCTAGTTTTGGGCGATGTTCCTAAGATGAAATGATGATGTTTTTCTGACCTTATTAAAATGACAAATAAAATCCTCTAGTCTCAAACCACTCTCAGATTTGTGACTTGTCCTTTCAACGTAGATTTGCGAGAAATTTCGTTTTTTTTGTTTGCGCAGAATAATTTGAATACTACTCGAGCCTCGGCACTCACCCACTTCACAGTGTTTTCCAGTGAATCTGTAAGGACACACGCATCTGTAGCTCCCTGCCTCTTCTTTACAGGAGCCTCCGTTGCGGCAGGGACCAGAGGCGCAGCTATTGAGTCTGACTGGAAAGAGACAAGGAAGGAGGGAATCTTTGAACTACTTTTTCTTTTTATCACACAAAATAAATCTGTTCCAGTGCATTGCAATTCAAGTCATAATTCGGGAAAATAGCTCAGAACTCTGCCATAAGAACAAATTATCATGAGCCTTTCAGCATTGTAATATTTCAAACAGCATTACGAGTAATGACATGTTTCCTGTTGCATTAAAACTGGGTTGGAGCTTGAGCAATAACCCACAAGTCTGTGGGATGATTTGATAATGATGCTTCATGAGTTCACGTGAAGGTGCCACTTCTCGTGTTTTGTGCTACCTTTCTCACAGTGCTTCCCCCAGTATCCGTATTTGCATTCGCAGGTGTAGCCTCCGTCCCGCTCGTAGCAGTAGCCCCCATTCAGACATGGAAAGGAGTCACAGACCGATCGGGGCTGTACTGAAAAACACACACCGAGACTTGACTGTGTTCCATTGCACTGGTAGACCTCCTAAATTTTACTCAAGCACGTGGGCTTGGTCCAACCTTTAAAAAACACATTATTCGCCATTTTATGATTGGATCAAATACAAATCTTACAAGAGCATTCAACAACAACATAAATCATTTAAGAAATTTCTCCCCACGTCGTAAATGTTAAACTGCAAATGTGACCATTCCTTTTTAACTAGAAAATGACACTTGTCAAGACCAGTGTGTTTATAAATGTGTTTGTCGCTATAGTAACCAGCTGCTCATGCAATGACACATAGCTGCAAAGTGCCCTGTTGTCGGGTTGGTGCCTGAGGCTCTTACCATAGGGGTAGATGTCCTTATGATCTACTTCTACTCCACTAGTCTGACATGTACACAGGTAGGTCCCGCCGTACTCCAGACAAGGACCTCCATCAGGACACGGCCTGCTGTTACTGCACGGCGTCTGGGTTACTTCTGGGAGGAAGGGATTGTGAGACAGGTTCACAAAGTTTTGGAAAAATGGCCTCTGGTTGGAGACTTTTTTTTTCTTTTCTTTCTTTCTTTCTTTCTTTCTTTTTCAAATTCGTCAAAGCTCTTGTGAGACACCTGATAGGATTATGCATATCATACTCACCAAACTGACAGTAGAGTCCTGTGTAGCCTGAAGGGCATTCACAAGTCCCATTGATGTCCACACAGACACCCCCATTCTGGCAAGGACATTCCTCTGCAGAGAGAGAGAGAGAGAGAGAGAGAGAGAGTGTGTGTGTGTGTGTGTGAGAATGAGAGAGAGAGAGAGAAGCTGGAAAGTTTGCTCCAGCTACTTGAAAGAAAATACTTAAATGAAGTTTTCAGGATTGGCCTAAGTGTAAACATAGACAGAAGGTATAAATGGTCAACATGTGTACCATATGCTGAGCGTCTTTCATCAGCTATACTGTAAACTATATATTGATTTGCTGTCATTTCTCTTTCCTTAATCTTTTCCAACAAAGTTCACAGGACCAGAAGATTACCAGTCAGCTCGCTGCACATCCGCTCCGTACAAATTGTAAGAATGTTTTTATTTTCCTCTCCTTCCTAATTGCAGCGGTGGATCAAAGGAATTGGCCATATCACAGCTAAATGGTTTCCCTTTGAAGTCCCAGGAGCTCGGTGGAGGGTATTATTTTTCTGATGATATGGAGCATATTTTGTGACCAAAATGTATAGCCCTGGGGGCAATTAATGGATTGTTAATTTGCAAGAGCCACTTTCATTGGCCACCTGTGCGGCCCGGGCCCTTTGATCTGAGAGCCTGATTAGGCACTTCTGAGTCCCACTACTTTCTCTTCCTTGAGGATCATGCTCCTTTTTCCACTGTGCCTTCCAAGTGAGCCAGGCAGGAAAGTATTTGGGAGATTTAAGAGAGCCTATATAAGCACTGATAGTTATTTCAGCTCAAGGGTGAGAAGTAGCATGCATTTGCAATAGCTCAAATACTATAAAAGAGCTTTTGGTGGGAAATAAGGCAGCAACTGTTATCAGAGGGTGACAGTAACTTCTCGGGGGAGCCCAAATTAGCTTTAAAGGGCACACTAGTTATTTCCTAAAACAAATATAGTATGATACAGAGATTAAAGCTAAATGACTTAATATGCAGTCATGAAAGGAAGGTATGAAGCATTAGCCGAGGATGACAGTGTTTAGCATATTTTGTGTTCAAATTGCCTTATGGTTATGCAAGCAGCAGCTGTGCTTGAAACTATAGTGTGGTGCAATGGCCAACTTCCAGAGAAACAAGTAGCGGTGTGGAAGCATGCATATTTCAACAGCTCTGTCTGAAGAAATGACCTGAATACCAAAGACCAGCTTTGACTCATAAAGAGGCCTTTTTAAGTCTAGACAAAGCACTTCCTCTTGTTGGTAAACTAATAAAATGTGCTATAAAACAATTATTCACAACATCAAGCGACTGGTTCCCGTAGTAAACTGGGCGAGGCCGTGTCAGTTTTGATAATTACAATAATCCATCATCACAGCAGCCTCTTCCAGGGCAGAGCTCCAAATTCCTGTGGGATAGCACAGCTCCTCTTCAAATACCCCAGTCTGCTCTCTACCTGCCCAGCTGCCTGCAGTAGGCGTCAGCCGGGGCCAAGTGCACAATACCTTCACACTTGTCACCGTAGAAGCCTGGAGCACATGTACAGTTGTAGAGTCCGGAGCTGGTGTATTCACAAATCTGGTGCTTCTTGCAATCCTCCTCCTCACACAGGGCTGCAGATGGAAAAGCAGGGCAGGATGTGGTGTAAGAATCAAACTGCATGTGAAAAATTCTGGCAAAGCTTTAGCTGTGGCTGTACTTGCTTTTACCTGTTTGGTTTTCTGCCTCAGTTGAATTAACCTGAAGCGTCACGAATTCTGAGAGCGGAACATGTGAAGGTTTGATTAATTAAAAATGACAACAAAACAAAAGATTTTCCCTTCACCTCCGGCGGAATCAAGCAATGCAGATACTTTTTGGATTTATTTGCCCAGATTTGGAGATACCAGTCTCTGAGATATATGGTGCCACCTCTAATACAATGGAGCTGATTGGAATTCAGTCTCATAAAAAAAAACAAAAAACAATATGTGGTCGGTCCATGTTCATCCCCATCAATACTTTCTATAAAACACACCTGAATCCCGTTCACCTCCATTGCATTGGGGTGACAGAAATCTCAGACATAGATTTTAACCCCAAAAATCTGCATGGCTGGATACCTTTAACTAGAGGTCAGTGTGATACAACATATGAGATCTATATGAGAAGTGTGTGATAATATCAGCCTCATACATTAGCTTATCAGTCTATCGTTAGCACACGCTGTAAGTTGACAGAAATGCGGAAGCAACAGTGTCACTTTCGCAGCCATGAATTTATGTTAATGTGTCGATAAAACCTTAATATTGGCCAATACATCGTTATCGATCCTACAAACAAGTCGTGCACATTTAGCGATATTGCCACGGTGAATGTTTTCATCACACTTTTCCACATACTTTATTAGTGGACGGGGTCATAAATTACGATAGCTACGATTTCAGGCTGCTGAAATCTTTAACCAGTCTTAAAGAGTGGAGCAGATATTGACGAGTGAGTGCTGAGGGGTGTGCCTTCTGTGTGTTTAGGGCCAATTTGGTTTCTTGACAGTCAAGAATCTGTGACTCTGGTAAATACTATAAAAGCAGAATTTTTTCGTTTTGACAGCAAATAAAGTATGTGATAAAGTGCGATGGAAACGTTTGCATCGGCGAGCCGCAACAGAACCTGCTCGCGGAGTCAAAGTTTGCAGCCATAAACATTCATTTTTCTCTCAGAGAGGTATGATAGGATTCCCTTTGTGTTTCTTCCAGGTGGAAAAATGTTACCTTTCAGGAAGCCAAACTGAAAGGAGAAAGTCGGTAACTTACAGACTATGTGAACAATTTCTATAAAGAACCTTTTTTTTTCCCATTTCTTTTAACCATCAAGCTAAATTCAAGTCACCTGTCTCACAGAGCATTCCAGTGAAGGTAGACGGACAAATACAGGTGAAGTTGGCCACCTGATCGATGCACTCTCCTCCATTCAGACAGGGCTGCGACTCACATTCGTTTATGTCTGGAGGAAACAGAAAAAATAAATCAGACGAGGAGAAGTTTATCTGCTGTTGATTCAGTTTCACATTGAGATTTTTCACAGTCTTCACGTGGAAATGCAAGATTTTGTCAGTGTCTAAGACGCTGAGCTGGATTAAGAGCACTGAACTTCCCTTCTGAAAGCATAGAGTTTCATTGACCAGGTGTCTGGTATTAAGAGTAATCCGGTCTCATGTAGAAACAAGGATCCATGAACTGTGCAGGGCCTGATAATTTAATTCCACACTGGGCTCATGTTTCATCAACAATCAATCACAAGAGGAGAAAGATTAGCAAACGTCTTCATGGAAACCCACCTGACTCCAGTGAACTTTCTCACTGTGGTTCATTGCTACAGTTTGTGACCCAAGAAAAAAAAAAAAGAGTTGTTTGCAAATCAACTCAAGTATAACCTCAACTTGGACCCATTTGTCTACGTAGACTGGGAAACTCTTCGGACAAAAACATCTGCCAAATGACTGAGTTTGATGTAGAAAGCAGCAGAAAATATTTCCTCTGGAGGGAGATGCCTACTTTCCCCGGGGCTGTGAAAAACCCCGCTCACCTGTCTCACACAGGACACCAGTGTAACCTGGTTCACACACGCAGGTGAAGCTGCCAGCGCCTTGTACACACAGCGCGTCGTTGAGGCACGGTCTGTCTTTGCACTCGTCAAGGTCTGCAACACACACAAACACGCGCACACGTACACACAGACTGAGAGACACGCTCGTGGAATATTTACTCAGCTGATTAATATATCCGCCACACCGCTCCCCTCACTCTGCAAGTATGTGCTGCTGGCTGTGAAAGGTATTAGAAGAGGTTTGATACATCTCCGCAGGCTGGACTGTGGGAATAGGCACAGAAGCTCCAGAGAGGCTCGACCAAGATATTCTAAATACTTTTTTTTTTTTTTTTTTTTGTGGAAACTGCTTAATGAAGCACAAAATACTTTGATTAATCAGAGTTTTTCCAGGTCCTTCAGCCAATTTGCTGCATGCAGAATGAAGGAGAATAAGTGTGGAATTTGTAATGTACAGTAAAAAAAAAAAAAGGAAAAAAAAATGTTTGGCTCAACTATGGCTACTTAAAAATCAAATATGTCACATTTCTTCATTTCCACATAATTCTAAGGAGGATTTATTAATAAAAAAACAACTAAAACTGTAACTAAATGGTAACTGGAGTGCATATGAGCTCTGGGGCAAACTGTCAACTGTACCTGTTTCACACAGAATCCCAGTGTATCCAGGAGGACACTGACAGATGAAACTGTTAATCTGGTCTTTGCAAGTCCCTCCGTTCTGGCAAGGATACGAAGCACATTCATCGACATCTACAGAGTCAGGGAGAAATACAAAGGAGGCAGTATGACTTTTTTTTTTTTTTAATTAGCAGAAAACATCTGGCCAAGATGAAAAAGGTTGGTTAGATACAGGTATTAAGGAAATATCCAGGTGCCCTTTTGGCAATTCAGGTGAATTCTAGTATTGTTTTCTTTTTAGTTTTTTTCAAGTTGACATTATTTTTCCTGGCTGATCTCAGGTCGAGAGGTATTCATTCATAGTGTGCAGTGTGTGTGTGTGTGTGTGTGTGTGTGTGTGTGTGTGTGTGTGTGTGTGTGCGTGTCAAGCGCAACAGAGCAGGAGGCGGCGTCAACCATAACTCACCGATCTGGCATCGGCGACCGGTGAAGCCAGCCAAGCAGGAGCAAGTGAAGGAGGGGTTGCCTGTAATACAGTCGTCAATGCACTGGCCTCCGTTCAGGCATGGTCGCAGGTGTGGGCACACCGACGCTGCAGAAAGAGGGCAGCGTCACAGGAATCCTCGATGAGCGTTAAGCGTTAAGACAGCAATTAGTAACTGAAGACCTAATCTCTCAGAAGCAGGTCTCACCGGAGTTGTTGCAGCCACCCACTTCTACGTGTGCGTTGTCAATACGGAAGACCCATCTGCCCGGGTAGCCCACGTTGGTGGTTCCCTCAACGTTCACCACATCGGCCGTGCGAGAGCCGGGGATGTTGAAATAGCGATTGCCGTCACCGGCGTTGAAACCTGCCTGGGAAGAGAGTAACGAGGGGGCAGACATCACAAACAGATTGTTGAATTAAAAGTTTAGACATCTATAAAAGAATTTTTTAGCTGCGGGGTCGTACTGTACATGCTACAAGCGATCTTACCTGCGCCGCGATCCCTCCTAGCCCAGCCAGGTTTCCCCCGCTGCTGGCATGCATGCCTGTGGTCCAAGTGATGTTATTGTACTGGAATATAGTGAAGGAAAGCTCTCCGTCTGTAATGAGCACCACTTGGAAAGTATTTACCTGCACAGAGAAGAACAGGCTCGGTTTAAACCATTTCCTGGTTTTTCTAGGGAATTTAGTAACAATGCATATATGTCACAGACTCTTCATATCAATGGCACAGTGTCTCAGTCACTCACAGTCAGGCTTCGACATTTCTGGGCCTGAAATTCACAGACACCATTAGAATGAAACCCAACAGCTGTGCTTTCTAACCCCATATTACATCCCAATTTTAACAGTTAACACTCTATTTTTTTAACACCATCCTTAGTAACACAAGTTGTCAGGGTTGCTTTTATCAAGCTGGCATTCCTGCTACTAACACAGTGGCAGAAGCTGGATTGTTTATCCATTACTTAACCTATAACCTATTAATTTCAGATAACTATTTCAACCATTTAACCATTATATTTGTTTGTTTTTTTTAAATTATTATTTCAACCGTTTACTTAATAATTGTGGATAGTTGTATGAAATAGTTATTCTCTCTCGGCTAAATCTTGAAACCATTTATCCATTACTTTTATCTCACTATTTAGACTCTTGGTAGCAAAAGGTGGAGTTAAGGTGACTCAGGTTGGTAGGAGGTCTGTACTGTGCAGTCAGCCTATTGCAGCTGGTAGTTTACTTGTTATTGTGACAATCCCCCTGAGTTGAAATAACTCAACCTAGGAGAACAAAGTTAAGTTCTTACCGGTGTGCGCGAGTTGCCTCCGAAGAAAGTAACTTGGTGCCATGTCGAGACGAGGACCCACGTTGCGTTGAAGTTGGGGAACTCTGAAAAGTACGTCCTGACGTCACCCGAGGCCCTGCTCAGGATGTAAGGCTCCTGGCTCTCCCTGTAGAAGACTCTCCCTGCCCGGCGGTTGTCCACATCGGCCCAGAAAGGCGCTACGACCCTCCTGTCCCCGGCGATCGGAAAAGCAACGGGTGTGAATTGAGACACCTCCCTCAGGAAAGATACGAGGCCATTGTTGTTCACCTGGGGAGCAGATACAGTTTGAGTTAGAGCGTCTGAATAAGGTGAATCATGATTTATTTCAATCAACACGTGAGATTTAACCACAGCGACTTGTCTGTAGTATTAAGGTGGTTAGAGTGGAAGTGCTGAGGAGTGGCGACGGTGGACAAACTCTGACCTCATGGGGCAAACAGCAGCATGGAGCAGTGGACGCTCCCGTAACGGATGTTTGCACTTCCCATGTAGCAGACAGACGCTACCTTTATTCCGTGAGACGACAGCAGCTGAGAAAACCCGGTGTCTTCTGCTCATGCACCTGCAAAGTCATCACAGCAGGAAGGACATTCGCGGCCTTCAAATCCACAGATGTCTGACAAACGGCAAAAGTAACCAAATAAATGAACCCCATCCTCCCCTTGTCCACATATCTCCTCTGTGAGAACTGCGCAGCCATCACCGCGGCTATAAACTGCAGCACGGTGAACTATCAACCTCCTGGAAGATCAGCTTTTAAAGGTCAATGCTTGGTGCATTGCTGAAGCAATCAGGCAACTAATGGATTAGTTACCTGACAGAAAATAAACCGACAGTCACTTAAACTCTCAAAGGCTTCGCTAGTCTTCTTTGTTTCATATCACTGCTGCACAAAAGTGATGGGTTTTATTCACCATTTCTAACATTTTATAGTTGAAACAACGACTTCATCTTTACAAATAACTCATAGATCGTTTTACATTTTTATGTTTTGTGGTTTCACTCTTAAAGCTGCTTATTTACACATCCAGCAGATAGCTCATAGTGACATTAGCACTGCTTCAGAGATGTGATTCTGTCAACCCGACAAATGTAGGTTCAATACTCACTCTCCTTTTTAGCTCTATTTTGGTCTCCGGGTAGAAATATATCTCTTGACTCTGCTAAATTCTCCACTAGGGTCAACTGTTCCTGGCATTTGCTGCTGCATGTGTAGCGTACAGTTGGTCTATCAGAGCTTTTTTTTTTTTTTTTGTCAGCTCCAGCTGGAAACAAGGTTGATAAAAGTGGAACTGAACCAAAACAGTTGCGTTACAGGCTGTAGAACTAAAAACAACGAGCTTAAATACACTAAACAAACTCTGCAGAGCTGGGCGATAACTCTCTGTGGGTTTGTTACTACAAGAGGCCACTTTCACATTACACAAACTGAACTGAGTCGTTGTAAATATAAATTGTTGTTCAGTGCAGCTTTAAAGAATTTTAAACATAATAAAAAATGGATTACAAAACTGCGATCAACAGTAAGGAATTCAAGATGAATGTCGCAGAACCAAGACAGTAAATGTGACAAGATATTCTTGTGCTGCTAGAGAGTTCCCTGCCGTAGGACTAGATCACAGAGGCATTATGGGTTGCAGAAAAGGTACGGATTTTAGATGCAAGAAAGGTTTTAGAAGTAAACGAGAGAGCAAATGTTTCAGGGAGGGGTGGAGCTTGTTTAGGGGGGGGGGGGGGGGGGGGAGGGGGGGGGGGGGGGAAGTTGTGCAGAAAAAAGAGTGAAATGCTAGTAAAAAAATAAGACTAATGAGTCATTGCTGTGATAGATTCTGGTATAGCATCGTTTCAGTCTGCATGTATGAGACCTTATGGCATTGACCAGCCACTGCATTAATACCCTAAGAAACGAGTTGCTAAACCTGAGTGTGAAGAGGAGAGTTCTCTGTGCTGAAGGGTTGAATCCCCATGAAAGGCCTTCATTCATACACCATTTCTGCACATTATCAGCAAGGGGAGATTCTACCCACCGTGGCACCTATCCTGTTTCCGCTAAACAGCGGCGTGAACTTTGCCTCTCCGCGTTCAAGCCGAGTGGCATGTGACAGTGACAAAGCAACGTCAGATGGCTCGGCTCCGCTCCCTGCATGTATGAAAACCATAATTTGAAGGACTTTGCTGTAAAAACAGCAGAGGAAGTTTTGTTTGGCACGGCACGGGGCTCAGTTAATTGCCCGACCACAGTCTTCCCCTCTGCATCAGCGTGATGTGGTGAGAATGCGGCCAATGTGGGGGAAAAAGAGGACCAACTGCAGGGGCAGGGCCCAGAGGTCAGCCAGAGCGCCATCTGATACCGCGAGGAAAACAAGAGCGAGGGCACAGCGCTGGATGAATGGAAGGATGTACATGAATTACAAACCTCCCACACCCACATACCCACTAATGAGAGACCTGTGGTGGCAGTGGTCTGGAAGTCACCCATCTTACAGCAAAATTAGTGTAGGAAATCATGCTGAACACTAAATAGAGTTTATACTTCAATACTGGAATATGTTTAATCGCCTAATCCAATCTCTTGTAGCATCTGGAACTGTTTAAACAAGTGTATTTCTTCCTTGTTAAGATTTTTTAAGGGGACTGCTTTGACATGGAAATGGCCTTAGAGGAATTTAAACTGAACTCGGGACCGTTTTCTTTGCATCATATCAAGTATTTTCTTTCTTCTCATTCGACCGGGCTGTGACTAGTGCAGACGGTGGTTCTGCATCGCACTTCTGTGAGAGAGTGAATGAGTTCAGAGCCGCCTTGTGTTATGCTGTAACATGACCAAGGTCAGAAACACAGGGGGAAAAGGTGCGATCAGTCAGCCTTGTAAGAAGCATCTCTCTCTCACCATATTTCTTTCTCTCTTTCTCAATGGTGCCACTTCACTCCACAACTCCCTTGTTATTTTTTGGGAATTCTTCGCCGGATACATCCAGGATTTTGCTTTGGTGGTTTTCTTTAGAGCCAAGCAATTTATGGACTAAAATAAACTTTCATCTGGCTTAAGTCAAGCCAAAGCAAACTCCTCAATGAAAAAGGTGCCCATGGATCAACTCAGGAAAACATTAGTTTTCCTTGTTAAAAACAGAGGTTTCACAGTTACAAGCTTGTCCAATTATTTGACGAGACCGAAGGAAGTGACTACAGTCAGACAGTCTGTGCACTTGGCCTGTAACTCCTTAGCCCTGGTTCACCTTTATCTACAAACAGTTTATACTGAGGCAATAAATCCTGTCTGCAACAGTGTGGAAGGACTCGAATACAGCATCTATTGAACGAAGTAAAAAGATATTAGTGCGCTGTTTAATCAGTCTGTATGATGCAGGTAAATGTATTCAACAAAAATTTTTAATGTGCAAATCATATAGAGGAATTTAAAGGCATCAAATTTAAATAAAAAAATTTTGACTAGTTTTGACTGAATTTCCTTTTTGTTTACCGATAATTATAAAAAGCTGGAAACAAAAAAGACGCCGTAATAAATTTATTTGGCACCAAGTGAGCACAAGAGGAGAAACTGTGTGGCATAGCATGCTCAGGAAAAAAAACAGGACCTCTAACGGACTGTATTCGAATACATTTAAATAAAATTTCAGGAGACGGTTAGCTTAGCTTAGCATAATGACTGAAAACAGGGGGAAACAGCTAGCCGCAGCTCTGTCTGAGTCGTACACTTAGTACAAGAGTGTAAAAACAAAAATGAGTGGTTTTCACACAAACTTCTTTCTTGGCTGGGTGAAGTGACTTCCTGGAGTCATGTCGTCATTGTAAACTTCACAGGCGACCCCCACCCCTCCCCCCACCACCATAAAACCATAACTTGTTGTTTTTCCACAAACAAGCTTCCGGTGTTTACGCAAAGCTCTACGAACCATCGCCTGGCTGTGGCAGTGTGCGGACGTATCTTGTCCACGGTGGGTGAACTGTTTTCTCAGTCACATCCCTCACCGCAGACATGCATGTAAGAAAGCACCCATGCAGAGCACAAAGAATAATACTCGATGCACACATCTTTGGGCCATACATAGTGGTGAGTGAGACTGAGTGAATGAAAGTGTTGAAGCTCTTCAGAAGAGCAGCTGAGCAGTAGCAGATGTGGAGTCTGTTAAGAGCGCAGTTCCACCGAACACGCTCTTGGCAGGCGTCTTTCCAAATGTATTTTAATTTTGTTTACATGTAGTTTACTTTCAATTATAGACAAATCCCATATTATCTTGTACGTTTTAATACTATAAATTACAATATGTGTTTCCCCATGTAAACGTAGCTCGAATCTTTCCACTGTCCGCGAGAGTTCATCTATCTACAATAAATGCCTTTGATCATAACCATCTATTCTCACATCTGCTTTTAAACTTGTGTTCTTTCCTCTCTGACCTTGGATGTCCTCCTTCATGTTCATAACACTGACCATCCGTAAGAGTAGTTAATCCATGAACTGCATTGTTTGGAAGCTCCTAAGACGCTTCGCAGATACATCTGTGTTCTGTTAAAGTGATTGGTCATTTCTCAGATAAAGCAGCTGGACAGTTCCAGGGGGAAGACCTCTGCCATGTTATCTGAGGCGTGGGAGGAGGAGGGGAGGAGGGGGGGGGGGGGACCCGGAGGAGGAGGAGAGATCCCAGCAACATATGAAAACTCCCAGACACAAACCATAACAGAGGGACAGCCTGGTTACCAGGAGCAGGACCAAGTCAGGGGGGACCCATGTGGGTAAAGATCTTTTTAAAGGGAGACCAGAGATCACTGAGACCAAGCGTCACTTGTCTACGTCAGTCCCTAAATCCACTGATGTATTTTGTTAATCACAACTGCTAAAAATAAAGACGTCTTGCTTCAGGAAGGCCCGACAGTTAAGGCTTTAATAGGGTCTGTGAGGGGGTTTTCGAGGGGCGTATGCTGCTAAACAGAATCAGTTATGATAATAGAGTAAGACAGCACCCACCGACCAACTCACATCAGTTTGGTTCTACAGCTTCCATGTGGCGGTAGCCCAGAGGCTTGGAACAAACTTCTGGGAGAAACTATTCATGCAAATTTTCTCACTGAAATATTACCTGTTTCAAAGCAGCTCTCCGGTGGCAGAGATCACCATGTGGCCCGCGCGCCTCGCAGCAGATGTTTAATGGATTCAGGTGAGGCATTTCAAATGAGCGTGACTGTAATTTCAAGTGCCTGCCACAATCTGTTATGCCTTGCGTGACTACAGAATTACAGTTCAGCGAGATGCAGAGTGAGCTACAGGATATCACATCACAGCGAACGCAGCACATTTCAGAAATGAGAGGTTCCCAGATTTTTATCTCTATCGGATGATAATTCCATCTAAGATCAACCAGCCAAGCAACGGATAGCTTGTCCCGTCTTGTCTAATTTGACTATTGTGTATCAGTATTATTAGAGGAGACGAGATGCGCTGGAATTCGTTGCAAAACTCACGATAAACACAATGTGCCAGCAGCTGTGATGCACAGAAGCTCCAGATTGGTGGGTGCACAACACAACACTCACTCACTCACACTGTTCTTAGTTTTAAAAATGTCTTCATTGGGAGACTGACCTCACTCCCTTGGCTCAGATGCTTAGATTAGAAAGATGACCTTTGGCCTTGCCCATTGTTGCCATGCTTCCTCAGCCTCCCCTACCCATGGTTTGATCAGGGAGGAGGCAGGCGGGGGTGCAGAGCGAGGAGGGGGTGGGGGGGTGGGTGGGTGGGGGGGGGTGGATACGGAGAGCGAATGCGGATGCATAACCACAACAGGTGGTGTTGATTTAAGGGAGTTTTGCCTTTCCATGTGCTGGAACTGAACCCAATACATGACAAAGGCAGATCAAAGTGTGTTTCATTGTGGTGCGCGAAAATCCTTGTCAAACTATTCGGCTTCCTCCCATGAGCACTGTTTCCCTCTTTCTCTCTCTCTCTCTCTCTCTCTCTCTCTCTCTGAAAAAGAACTGCTCACAGATGCTCCGCAGCAACAGTATGAACACAAACTGTCATTTCCTTTAACAGCTCTTTGTAGACTCGGTGGAACAGAGCTTACCACTGTTCTGCAAAAAGTTCTCGCTCGCTCTCCCTTGGTGCACTTGAGAGCCCTCGGAGTGCGAGGAGGGCAGATGTAAAGTGAAGAGAATGTCACGGAGGATCCACGCGTGGGGAAGGAGAGGGGGTGTGGGGTGGTGGTTTTTAAGCACACGATATTCTATAAACGAAGTTACACACCAGAGCTTGTGAGCGAACACAAACATATACAAAACTCTCAAAGGGCAACTGCAATGTAATATTTGGCTGCGTGCCAAACGTCATCTCCCTGAGGCTTTTATACAATCCACACCATGTCAGTTTCAATTGCCAACTGCCAAGTGCATGCACACGCACACATGCTGACATATAAAGACATAAACACACACACACACACACACACATCAGTAAAAACACACTGCTCTGTACTCACATAGAGTCCGGTGTGCCTGTCTCCAAAGAAGGGGAAAGCAACAGAGATCTCCACGAGCCCGGAGCCTCCGTCGTCCTGAGCGATGGTCTGGGTGTCCCCCTTGTCCTGGCCAAAGGGATAGAAGTCCTCGAGGGGCACGGCAGGTTCCACCCCAGGCAGCAGGTCCAGGGAGAGCAGGGTGCAGAGGCAGGGCAGCAGGGCTCGCAGCACCAACACCATGGCCTCAGCCACCCAGGGATGGAGCTGACAGCAGGCACCGCGGAGGGGAGGGAGGAGCACACACACCTGAGGCAACAAGAGCAGAGCAGAGCAGAGCAGGACAAGACCGTACGTTCCTCCTCTCAGCCACAGCAGTGTGAATCCTCCCCTGACTGCTCTGCGGCTCTGCCTCTTTCTCTCCTCACTTGTCCTTTAGTAGTGAACTGGGCTTCTTGTGTGAGACAGGGGAATACTGTAGATTCCTTGCATTCTGCTTGCTGCTGGGTACTGCATGAGCTACACTCCGACTCACTGAAATGAAACGAGGAAAGGAATGAAAGAGGGGGAGCAGCGTGATTCAGCTGAGATGTTTTTTTTTTTTTTTTTTTTTTTTTTTTTTTTTTTTTTAAAAACAATCCAGCGATTTGGTCCCTGATGGTCAGCTTAGAAATATCCTCAATAAAAGCTCTATTCTGCCTGCCAAAGGAGTTCTTTCAGTTTTGGCCCCACCTCCCCCACAGGGATTCACTACCTTGCATAATTAGCTGCTTCCAGCCAATGGCTGAAAAGAGGCCGGTAACTGGATAACCACTGGGCGGATCTATGATAATCAAAGGGCTGTTTTAAAGAAACTCTGACAAGATTTTCCCCTTTCAGTGAAACTCCCACTATGTACAGTTACCAAGGCATGCAAGGTTAGACAGCGAGAGGACATGCATGTGCACTGCTGTGAAAGTGCAACTCGGTTCAGAAAAGTATGGTGAGAGCACGGACTGCAATGAAAGACAGAATAAAAAAGGAGCAGCTGCCTTTCAAGATAGTTACGCACAACAGATGCACACGTGGATGAAAACACGCAGCATGGAAAACACGACATATTTGTGGTTTCTAATCAGCAAAGGGAAGACCACATATTTAGCTCAGGATTTTTAGGGTTGTGAAGGGATTACAGAAGGATCGCAAAGTGAAACTTTCAAAGAATGATGATCCCACAGACTTGGAGTCTGCAGAAAGAAAGAAAGAAAGAAAGAGAAAACACTGAAGACAGCGCTGGCGATAGAGAGCAAAGGTCATCCTCTCACCCACAACACTAAATCCACAAAGGCTTTTAATGGTGCGAACCAAACCCTAGAACTCACATGCCATGAAGGGGCAGTGCTGTCCTTTGCAAAGTTCACACAAAACTTTTTTTCCATAACAAAGTTGTGTGGCCAAGCAGAATAAACATCACCGATGATCACATCTCAACCTCTTTTGAAAACTAGAATCTTACAACTGTGCGCTGATACATGCAGTTTATTAAAAACAACCACAACTTTTCCACACAAGATTAAGTGAAATGCAATACATAATAAAATAAATGTGTTACGCTGTAAAACCTTCGTGAAGCCTTAAACACTAATAAGCACAGCACCAGGAAAAATCAATTGAAATCTGCAAACAATTATTGTAAATATTTGGACATATATTCTCATTAGGATACACAAACAGTGATCGTGACATATAAAGTTGGTGCATGATCAGTACGACAAATGAGAGAAGAATAAAGCTCCAACCGAGGAAACCTTTCATCACATTGTTTCCTAAAAAAAAATAAAATGACACAGCATAAACAGACTTAGAAACGCCAACTGTGGCGAGCCAGAGGAAATCCTTAAAACAATTTGGCACATCCAGTCCACTTATAAACAAAACACTCATTGTTTGTTGTTGTTGAGTTTTCCTGCAGATTAATGTAATCCGGTGTGCACATGTGCATGGGTGGGAGTAAACGCCTTGGGAGTGTGTTTGTGTGTGTGGGCTTTCCAAATGTGGACGTAGACTTGTAACATAACGTTGTTGGGAAGCTGCCAGAGGAACAGTGAATGAGGAGGCCGGAGGTGCTACATACTTCGCTGCAGGCTCTCTGCCTACACACCGGGCTGTATCTGACTGAAACAGGCATGCCATCCTCTTGTCTCCTGATCCAGCTGCTCTTTGAGAGTCAGCACCTTTTGTAAACAAAAAAAAAAAAAAGAAAAAAAGAAAAAGGGGCAGTTAGGTAGAGAAACACAAAACAAAACATCGACATAAACCCGTGACACAAGAAGAAGAAGAAGAAGACAACCTTCCCAACAGACTGTCGACACTTAGAAGTGAAATACCTGTTCCTCCAGGCATTTGACCCTCTGGCGATGTGCTTTCTCCCTGGTCTCCAAGGCCCGCTCTGCTTGGAGCTGACTGCCTCTCAGACGATCCGTCTCCAAATCCAGCTCCTGGTGATGGCGGGCTGTGACCTCCAGGAGGCGCTGTGCATGAGCGTGCTCCAGCTGAGAGATTTGGGCCTGAGGACAGTTGAAAATAGAGTTTGAGAAAGTTTTTTTTTTATTTTTTATTTTATTGCAGCTATAATCAGTGATTGAACAGATGGAGGTTCTCTGAGCCTGGGGGTTACCGGGGTCATGACCCTGACCCCGCAGGTTTCGTACCTGGGCAAGTTGGCCAACTGGAAACCACGTGTCAGTGGAAGGCAGCTTTTTTTGATAGGTGTAAACTTAACGTAGATTGTAACAGTAGCAGTTTCCCTTTTCATGCAGCTACTGACAAGAAACTTCAATGGAGTCAGATTCACACAAACACGTTTTAATATTCTTAAAATATACGTGAGCTCCAGTAAGAGTTTTGTTTGTTGCTTAGTCGGATGATGAAATTGAAAGACATGTAAATGTAAAAATATGTAAATACTAGATAAAAAACCTTTATGGAAATGTCACCTGTCAATCATGGGATGTCTAATGTGACGGTGTAGTAACTCTCAGTTTCCTATCTGCTAAATGTCAGAAATATCTCATGTGGTTTGACACCGATGCTTTCAGGATATTGTTTGACTGGCATGGTTTTGGCAAAGAGTTCTGTATTAGTTATCAATATTTAAGTATTTCATTAGTGATAGCAAGCACAAATTGTTCATATACCGTGCATGTTACATCTGCCATGATCCCACGACCTCTCACCTGCAGAGTCTGCACCTCCTCCAGCTTTTCATCCAGCTCCTGCTCCAGGCTGCGGACCGTCTGCCCCAGCCGCTCATTCTCTCTGGCTGCTGACGCCGCCTCCTCCTCCCTCCTCAGCCTCTCCATCTCCACCTGAGAACAGCACGAGTGGGGGGGGGCACACACACATAACTTCACCACGACTGCTCCGCACTCGTGTGCTTCCCTGTAATGCGTGTAGCAGAAGGCGAGCGCAGACTCTCCTCGGTTCTCACAGTCCGCCTACATGTTTCCATCACTATAGGATCACTTTGTACAATGAGCGACAAAGATGTATGTGAAGAAAATTGAAGAAAATAATATTACTAAACTACAGCATAATAAAACAATAAAGTATTCAAATAATCTCCCCTGGATTCATGTAACTGCCCATTTCTGTGTCTTTATGCTTCGGCAGCTGCATGTGTTCACTGGGTCCAGAATGTGGCAGCAAGGCTTCTGACCAACACTAAACGCATTACTTCAGTCCTGGCCTCTTTACGCACCACGGCTTCCAGCAGTTGTAGAATTGACTTTAAGATGACTTTAATTGCATTTAAAGCCATTTGTGGTTTGGCTTCCTCGTATATTTCAGATCTTTTACCTCATATTCAGCAGCAGGACTCTGACTGACTGACCAAAAGTCTAATGTATGTCTAGGGGGGGAGGTAATGCCTTTACGAAACAGCTTTTGACCCTGTGGCTGAGTCCGTGCTTCATTTGAAACTTTTGCTTGAAGATATTGGAAAATCTGTAGGATCCACTGTTTTTTAGGGCCAAGAAGTGTCGGGATATCTTGACCTCCAAGTCCTTCAACTTTATGGAGGTGCGATATTAAATTGCTGCAGTTATCTTTCGATGAATATATTGTAAAGTGCCTTATAAATAAAGCACATTGCACAGAAAAAGTTTATTTTTTAAGATAAGTCAGTGTCACTAATACCTAAGAACATTAATATTCCAATATGACTGACTGCAAGGAGATCATTTTGAGCCATTCAGAGAGGAGAGCTCACCTTCTCCAGTGTCTTTCTGAGTGCTGACTTGTCTTTACCGAGGCGTGTCAGCGCTCTCTCCATCTCTGCTCTCTCACTTTGTAGTTTCTGCAGGCAGCTCTGGAGCTCGGTGACCTTGTCCTGGAGTTCCTCCCTCTCCCTCTGCAGCTGCTGGGAGCTGCCCTGGGCCTGCACTTCAGCCTTCTGCCGCTGCTTCAGGCTCTGGGACATTGGTCGATCATCCATACATCAAAATAGTGAGCCTCAGTTTTTACACCTTCATTTACACCTTTACCTTGATGTAACTCACCTCCCCCAGCGTCCTGTTGTGTTTCTCCAGCTCAGAATATTTTAGCTCCGAGTCCTCCCGGGCTGTTTCAAGGTTTTGAATCCGCTCTGTTAGTGCGTGGTTCAGCCGTTTACTCTCTGAGAGGGTGTCTCGTGTTTTATCCAGACGTTCCTATGGGCACACACATGTTGAAATACACGACACAGTGAGCCACACAGTTTCATCAAAACATCATTTTTGCACTTACGCTGACCTTCCACTTCTCACCTTCCGCTCTATTCTCTCTTTTACAGTTCTTGACATACTGTTGAAAGCTGCAGGAAAGACTCTGGATTTTCCTCTCGCTTTTTACTGCAGCGAGCCAACAGCTTTTGAGCAAATCAGGAGATTTACAATAAGCATGTCATGTTTTTGTTTGTTCAGTATCTTTAAAGTCCAGTTCCAAACTAAGACCGGAAAGCTCTCCTGAGAAGCTCTTGGAAGAATTAATGAGCTTGCCTGAGCATTTTATTGCTCGATCTTTGAGGTCCTTCAGGAAAACCACAGCAGCAAATGTAAATAAAAATGCTCAGTCTGGAGCTGAGAAGGTTACATAGCCCCACTGTAAATCAAAGCATGGCAATGGAAGCACGGCTATTCGTCTTATTTTGAACTTTCATCAAACATTTTTTATTTTTATTTTTTTCAAATATCCACAATCACGTTGAGAGAGGAGAGGCTTAAAAATGTAAAATACACGGTGTAGATGATTTATTTTATGTAAACGGAAATGGAGAAATGTTTGTCCTCAAATGGATGTCTGCCCAAAAACCTGCTCCTGTATGTTCCACTTACAGCATTTCACTTTGTTCAGCGGTGAGTGTAATCAGGTGATGGATGTACCTGCAGCAGCCTTCGGTCCTGCTCGCTGGCAGTCAGAGCCCTCTGCAGCTGTGTTATCTGCTCCTGCAGGGCTCCACTGCTGCTCCTGTTGTCACTGAGAGAGTTTGACAGTTTGTGGATCTGCTCTCTCAGCTGACTCTCGTGCTGCTCAGCTCGAGCCAGAGACGCGCTCAGCCTCTCCTCACCGACCGTCAGCGCTGCGCACCGGTCCTCGCTTTCACCCAGCTTCCTCCTCACGTCTGTCAGTCTCTCCTGCAGCGCCCCCACCTCTGCATCCAGCTCTGCCGCCCTGAGCTGGGCCCGCTGTAGCTCGCCCTCAAGGGTCCGCTGAGACAGCTCCAGGCGGTTAACTCTATTCTCTGCGGCTTCCAGAGACTCCTTCAGCTTCCGCTGCTCTGCATTCGCACGAGATTCTAAGCCCTGCAAGAGCTCCAACTTGTCCTGTAGAGGAATTGATTGGGATTTTATCAGTTTCCATTTCAAGATGGCGTTTGCTATTTTAGTCAAGACTTATTTTTACATACTTGCAGTGCCCTGGACTCAACCTCGGCAGCTTGCAGACAACTCCTGAGTTGAGTTACCTCCTCCTCAAAACTTCTCTTCTCCCGCTCCGTGCGACATGCTACTTCCTCCTGCAAGGCAATGGATGTATGCGCCTTGTGCAACTGATCTGCCATCTCTCTTTTTCCTGTAAAAACATGTTCAATATGCTGTGTGTCCCGACAGAGTTAATAAGTGATATTTACTGTTTCTCTACAGGAGCCACTGGTTTTCTTACCCTGCTCTGATTGCTTCAAGGACTTCTGTAGTTGTAGCAGCTGAGTGGACGACTCATCCTGGCTGCCTTTGAGCTCTGTCACCTGCTGACCTAGACTGACCACCTGAGCCTTGGCTTCATCCTGAAGAATACATGTTTATGAAATTAAAAAAGTGCCAAACAGTCTGCTAAAACATAATCACCAAACATTTAACAAGTGAATTTTCTGAGCTGGTTTTCCCTGAAAAGCAAAACTTTATGTCAACAATCCCATTCACTCAGAGTGTGTGGTTTTATTCTATATTCACTTATACAGTTATTAAGTTCAAATGTACCCTGTCTCTTTGTGCTTCTCTGAGTTCCTGCTGGAATTCCTGCAGGGCTGTTTGCACCGTGTCTATGTCCAGCTCCACATCTTCACCACGAGACAACACTGATGCGTCTGTCACGTTCTCTCCCCCTAAAAGAAAAAGAGAGACCACACTCATTAATGCATTTGCTTATAGTAAAAAAAAAAATGGCTTCACGACACCTTATTTCAAAAGTGTATAAGCACACCTCTGACTTGCAGATGGGTTCTCCAAGGAGAGGGAGATTGTCTACGTGACGCAGGTTTGCTTGAAAGCCTCGCACGGCCGATGCCAACAGTGCGACGCAGAGCTGAATACAACCCCGCCAGCTTCAGCTCCAGGTCCTTGCGTTTGGCGTCACCCGAGCCCAGCTGCTCCTCCAGGCCCCGAACCTTACTTTCAGCGAGGCCCACCTGAACGGAGAGTTCCTTAACCTGGACCTTGGCGTCCTCTAGTGCTTCCTCCAGCTGGGCAGAGCTTTCTCTGTGCCGCTGGTCACTCTGCTGATGATAAGCCTCTCTTTCCTGCAGCAGCTCCCGGCTCTGCTGCTCCACTGTCTCAATTTCCACCAAACAACGCTGCAGACCTGCGACCTGCACAAACACAAGCACGCAGAGCTGTCACAGGGCAAACCTGATTTTCTCTACAAGTCATGTGTACATTTATCAGAAAGTGTGGATTATACCATAAATATGATGTCATAACGGAGGTGCTTTGAGCGAGTTTATAATCTTTTACAAATTGATGACACAAATGGACACAGTTGTCAGATCAAACCTTGAATTTTTTTCTACATTAAACCACTTAATTTCTTTTGTAGTTTTTTTGTAGATGTAAAAATGTAATTCACTTGCTTTAATTCTTTTGTGTTTGGTTTCCATCAAGTCAAAATGATGTTACGGTTGCACAAATATGGACGGGTGGCTGAACACACTGTAGTTCTAACTACATGAATGATTAACAGCTCGGTAATGTAAGAAATACTGAGTGTTATCTTATGTCCGACACTTAACAGCGTAAATAATAAGGAACGTGGTTTCTGTAATGGGTCAATGTGCTTTGAGATGATAAGCTCGTCGAGTTCACTGAAATATTTTCTAAACTGTATCACAAGGAAGAGATAAAGAGATAAGTTTAGAGATACAATAATTATGACTGAAACATAAAATTAAAACAACAATATACATTGGAATTTTGATCGTCTTTATCTCTTTAACGCGGAGCTTCTCAGCCTCAGGGCTCGGCGCTTGATATGTAGACAAGGTCACAGGACACGTCAAAGTCTGGTGCATTGAGATTTGTTGGATTTAGTTTAAAAATGGAGGCATTAAACGGGCTTCAAATATATCATAATAATGTGCATTTCGAGCTGCTCTCTCCGTGCTCTCGGAGACAGAAAAGAAAAATATTCCATTCATTCACTTGACAACTCAAAGACACTCTAACTGCCTGGGGTCATGAGAATTTGGGGACCCCTAAAAACGGGGTTACGGACAGAAGAGGTTAAAAACCCTACTTTATACAATACCAAACATTTTGCTGCACTGTTTATCAAAAGACACATTTTTACTGTTTTCATGTCTGAATGTTCTGAGAATTAAACAAAATTAGTGAGTTTCTTTAATGTACTGTTGTTCACTTATATTCACAAAAGATTTAGTAATAAAATAAAAACGTAGATTTCCCGTCACTGTTACAGTAGAATATAATAATTCTGTTCATGTGCTCTGTCTCTGCATGAGTATGGCAGGTATTCTTCATGCATGTATGCAAAGGTAGAGTAGTTGCTCTGGCATGTTGTTCACAGACTAATTGCCGGTAGCCTTCTACCTCATTGAGCGCTGCGTCTCTGCCAGCCTCACACTCCAGCACTCTCTGTTTGAGGGTAAAAGCCTCGCGACGCGCCTCCTCCTCCTTCTGCTCCTCCTGACATACCCGAGCCTGCAGCTCTCGCAGCTCCTGTTTCTGCCGGCCGTTCTCGCCTTCCAGGATCTTTACCTGCTCGAGTTAACGGGGCACAAAACTGTTTTTAAAGTAATCCCTTCATTTTAAATAAAATCAGATGGAAAGCAGTGACCTCAATAATCCTTCACCTGTCTGCGCAGCTCCTGCAGCTCTCTGCGCGCCTGCAGGCGAGACTTCTCCAGCTCTCTCATACTGCTCCGTAAAGCGGTTGCCTCTTGGTCAACGGAGCTCCTACGTTCCTCTAAGACGGCCACTTTCTGCTCCCTCTCCTCCACAGCTCGTCTCAAGCTAGTCAAGAAATGTTTACGATTAACAAGAAAGAAAATATTCACAGGAAATCTGCAGTTCCGTGGGACAGCAATTCACCTGCTGTTGTCACTCTCCGCTCTCTTGATGAAAGCTCTCAGCTCCTGGTTAGAGGCTTGGATTGCCTCTTTCTCTCTGGTCTCATCGCCCAAGAGCCTCTTCAGGTCCAGGGCTTCTTTTCGTTGCTTGTCCCGCTCCTGTGCACACTCCTGGAGCTCTCTGTGAGCCTCGATCAGCTCCTTTCGACCTTTAACAAGTCCATCTTCAGCTTGCTGCAGCTGCCAGCGAAGGCCTTCTAACTTCATGTGTAGATTAAGGGAGAATGAAAGGCATTATTATAATAATGATAATTATTATTATTATTACCTGATTGATGAGAATAACAGATAACTCCCATATAGAAATACTATAGTTTCTTTCTTGTTGTTCCTGGTTTCTTGATTGGTTGTTAACTTAATCCTGAAGTTATTTGATGAAACAGTTTTTAGGGACTTACTGCTTTTAAAAACCTCCCTGTTTTCAATATAAATCCAATAAAAACATCCAACGCACACAAAATTCTTTTTATCCTCATAATTCATCAAAAACTTCTATCAAGCTGTTACGTACAATACATCAAAAAGCTCAAACACATGTGTATAATAATCAGGATTGAATAGGAAAAATCCTTTGCAGCATACTGCAAAACTGATTTTGGATCAGATACTGCATTAGAGCTTCTTTTGTTTGAAAGCTAATCCTCAGCATCTCCTATTCTAAGTGCTATATGCACAGTCTCAAGATACTATATGACCTATATTCTGCTTTACAGCAACATGTGTGCAGCGAGAGAAACAGGGAGGACAGAGCTTATCTGGGCATGGATAAGAGCCAGTTGGGCCCGTAGCCAGGTGCTGTCTCTTCCCATCTCCTCACTGTGGCTCACAGTGTAAAGAATCTACAGAGAGCGAACATGATAAACAGCAGCCCCCCCCCCCCGAGGTGGTGGGGAGGAAAGAGGCGGAGACGGGGTGGAGGAGGGAGGATGAGGACCAGGATGAGGAGAAAGGAGGAGTGTTATGTTCAGAGGCCACACAGGATGGTTCTTTCTCATAAACTCTAATGTGAGAAAAAACAAGCCAGTGCTGATCTGGCCAATTATACTTTATTTTATCAGATTTTTTTGGGTGGGGAGCGGAGGAGAAGGGCCGAGAATATGAGGGCAGCAGTGTTGTGTTATATGGATGGGAGAGGGGGACCTGCAGTCCCAGTGGAGCCAGCCTCTCGCTGCTGCAAGGGAGAAAATAAACACTCCCCCACTGGCTTATTTACACAAGGGGTTAACTCAAACTTTGATTTCATATTATGGTACCAGGGACCGTATCCTCCCCCTCTGCTTCTCCCTTTCTTCCCCTTGATTTCTTCCCTCTTTCTTGCTCTCTCTAACTCTGTCACACACTCGCACTCTTGCTCTGTCACTATCTGACATGAGAATCCTAAGATAGGATTAGTGAAAATAATCAGAGTAGGAAATGAGCAGGGGGGTGGCAGCCAAATATGACAGTGTCGCTGAAGCCTGGCTTGATATACGGTACTAGGGAGGGCTGTCCAAAAACCTCAAAACTCTTCTGCTCTGGCTCCGCACAACCTCATCCACTATACTTTGACAAGACTAAGGAGACAGAGCGAAGACAGGATGATCCTCATTTTTTTTTTTTTTTTGCTTTTTTTATTGAAACCAAAAAGTTCCACACAGATAAACAATCCACTTTTCCTGGAAAACCAGGCTTTTAAATCAAGGCATGGTGAGGCCCTTACAACTCTGCAGTTACATCTTAATGAGGTGACTGTGAGCTTGTTAATTCACTAAAACGCTTGGCGACCCTGTGCCTGGAATCCCGACCTCAAGCAACCCCAAGAGTTGAGATTTATGGCTCTCATTTGGCTCGGAGAGGTATGTCACTGGGCCAAAGTTATAGCCTAATTGCACTTTTATGTTTATATTAAGGTCAGCTGAACTAAATCTTTCTCAAGTGGACTTGACAAGAAAAAGACACAGAAAGCGAGAGTTGAGCAAGAGTCTCAAGAGTGGACGCCACCTCTCCTTGTAGGATTCGGCCCTGCAGACTGCACCTGATGGTACCCTGATGCTAATAAAGCTCTGTGGCACCGGCAAGAGCAACAGAGGCCTCAGGTAATACAAACAAGCCTGTACTTTCCTATCCATGTCAGTGATCCTACTGTACAAACAAAATCTGCTCATCTCATCTTGTGACATTCTTTATGTTCCTCTGCCCAAATCGAGATCCTAACATTCACTAAAGATTGACATCAGTCTCGCATATGTCGTTTACACTGGTGCCGCTGAACAGACACGCACGATGACAAGCTTGTTGAATGATCTCACCTCCTGCTGTGCATGTTCTCTCTGTTGGTTCATCTCTCTGACCTGCTCACTTAGACTCGTCTTACTGTTCTCGTTGGAGTTCAAAGACTCTTCAAACTGAGTCCGTAAGTCTCGCAGCTCAGACTGAAGGAGAGCCATCGCGTTCTGCAAACACAACAGACGCACACAAATCGACTGGCTGGAGTTATATATAAGACAAAGGACCGGAGCTAATATGACCCTGTCATGTTTTACCTTATCCTGCTCCTGTTTGCTAAGTGCCTCCCTCTGCATGCGCTCCAGCTCCATGTCTGCTGTGACCAAGTCCTGCTGCAGGGCTGTCAGCTTCTCCGTGAGAGCAGCCTTCTCTGCCTCCTTCTGGGACAAAGCCTGGGTACAACAGACGACAAGCTCAGGGTCATTTAGCTCACAAGAAGAGGTTTAGTTTAGCCATGGGGACTTGGACATAAAGTACAGAAGCTATCATGCTTCTAACTTCCACTGAGGGACAAGGAATGGACTTTGTGTCTTGGATAAGGATACTGGCAAGACATATGGCTTTTGATGGGAAACTATGATGACAGAACTTCACATGATGGGGTTAAACACAGTTCACCATTTGAAGGATCATAAACAATCTAAAAAACCATGAAAAACCTATGACGATCACCACACACCTGCTGCTTTTCACTCTCAGCCTGCAGGAGGCTTCGGTTGAAGTCCTGCTGCAGCCTGGCCTGCTCCTCTTGCACCTGCTGCAGCTCCTGCTGGCTGTGCACACGCAGCTCCTCACATTGTCTACGCAGCTGCTCCTCAGCCTGCTCCCGCTGAACTGTCAGCTCCGCACACTGCTGCTCCTAACAACCACCAAACACAGACACACACACACACACACACACACAAACCTGATTAATTAATGTAAAACTAAAGTATCATAAACGATTCCGTCAAAGCCAACCTACCGCTGTAAGTCGTGCTGTACCTTTTGTCTGCGTTCAGCTTCGAGCTGCTCTCTGTGAATTTGCTCTCTGTTGTTCAGGGTCAGCAGGGCATTCCTCTCCACCTGCGCCAGCTTTTCCTCCAGATTACCACGCTCTTGTACAGCTTGTGCAAACTGGTGTTGAGCATCTACACGCATGCGAGCAGCATCACCTGGACAGTAAAACGAACCCATTCCCCGATTCAAAAACTCACACAGTTTGTTTGATGGAGCCACTTATTACACATGGATGATGATCCAGGATCAGCAATGTTTTATTTGGAGTTTTATTTGGAGTTTTATTTATAGAGGATACTCATCCATGTCTTCATGTGGAATATGCTAGCCTAACAACACTTATCTGATCCATGTGTTTGTGTGGAGTGGTGGGACCCTGGTCAGCTGAGAAAACAGCTCCAGTGATCCTGCAGCCCAGCTGTTGCAGAGCTCACAGCTGAAATATGGATCTCTAGTGGGCTGTTGGAAAGGCTTCATGGCCAGGGGGCTTGGCATGGAGGACAGTGGGGTCTCTGAGGAAAGGGACTACTCACGCGTCAAGGCCTCGTTAGCCAGGAGCAAGCTGCGCCTCTCCCCCTCCGTCCTGGTGTATTCAGTCTCCAGAGACGCTGCGAGCTCCTGGCTCTCAAACAGAGCCGTCTCCAGGGACTCCTTCTCCGCTCTGGAACACAGCGGTGAAAAAAAGACCTTTGAACCACTAGGTGTAGAAGGTCATAAAATCCAATGATCCATCATGAGCATAGTTTCCAAATAAAACCATGTTACTTTAAAGACTCCTGTTACACGAGACTGGCTGTGCTTTAGAAGGTAAAATTTGCTTAAAAAGTCAAAGTGACCTTAAATACACATTGGAAGTTGGTGTGACTTAAACAAACACACACTGCCTTGTTTATGACGCTTTCGAGGACACTGGACTGACTTACATTCATTCCATACACTCTTAACCTAACCCTAACCATAACTGATGCATGCCGGAACCCAACCCTGACCAGTGAAGTCAGAAACTATTTTACTGTAGCGTGGGCTGATTGCAACTGCAGAAAACAAACTGGGAAAACTGGTTTTAAATATGAAATTGGGTCCCGGAGATTTGAGAGGTCAGTCAGCACAAACAAATACACACACACACACACACACACGTACACAAACACACTCAGACCTAAGTGCAACCAGCTCCTGCGTGAGACCACAGGCCTTTCGGTCAGCGGAGTTTAGCTTGACATCCAGAGCCGCCTTGTCCTTGGCCAGCTCCTCCCTGTCACGGGCAGCTCTCTTTAGGGCTGTGGTCTGTGTCTCCAGCTCCTTCCTGCACGCACACAGCTCCTCTGACACAGTCTGCATCTGCCTGTTGACCTGGAGACCGACACACGCAAATAAATAAAATGCCATCGAGCAATTCATTTATACTTTTTCCTCCGAGCAGCCAGCGATAAGCACTAAATAGTAAACCATTGTTTGAATTAAAATATAGCTTACACACTTACACAACAGAACTATGAGAAACGAATCTTTGATGAGTAGGAGCCGGAGCAGCCTAAAGGAACTACATTGTGCTTGGGAATATGTATGTGTGTTGGATTGAGAATGAACCGCCCGACCTCTATATTTCATGCCGCCACATTTGGCGCACTAATACTGAACTCTCTATACTTCTCCTTTTGCTGTTATGAAGCATAAATTAAACAAACTTTACGTGATTCATGACGGTGTATACGAACTGCAGGACCATAAGAAATGCATGGCCTGAAGCAAAACAAAAAATGATTTGTGGGGTTATGATTGTTTTTCCAATTACCACTTAAATAATTATGACACACCACAGGACCTATATCTAGCAACGTGAATAATGATTTGGGCAAATGTGCAGTTCGTGTGGAACTTCTATTCAACATTTATCAAACTCCCAGAACAGATTGATGTCTGAAGGGACCGAGGTCAGGCTTCTCATGGGATTCCTCATTCTATAAATTCACAGTTTACTATGAAAATCACACTTAAATGAAAACATGATAGATTTGCACGTTATTTAAGTTACTGTATGTCAATGACCTCAGTAATTCAATCTTGAAAACAGCTAAAAAAAGCTCATAGTAAAACAGGTTTCAATGTCATTTAAAGGAATATTTTTTGATGCTTTGGGAAATATGTTTATTTGCTTTCATTTCCAAGAGATAAATGAGAAAATTAATACTACTTTTGCGTCTGTAAGATGATGCTAAATATGGAGCTAGAGCCTCATAGTTAGCTTAGCATAAAGACTGGGAGCACAGAGACGCCTGGCTCTATCCAAAGGTAAGTCAGCTTATCATCTATTAGCAAGACAGGGAATTAGCATATATCCCAAGATGTCTATTCTTTCATGGGTTAGTCTTCTGGTTTGAATCAAACAGTGATGAAGCTCTGTTCTGAAACTGGAAAGATATACTCAAAGTGGCCTGGCGCTTTCCCTGATATACTGCGTCTTTGAAGCCCGTCACTGACACACCATCACACAGTGGTTGAGTCTATAACGGGCGTCTGCAACCTCTAAAGTTTCACTGCAACAGAATGTTTGAAAAGCAACAATCAGAGTAATTTGATTTTGGACAAACTAAAATGAACTCATACCAACTAAATATTAGCACATGTGTCTTTCAGACATCATGTGCTTAGGTAAATATTAAAGTGGATGAATTACACCAATGTTATGGAAGTGAGCAGCGCCCCAATAAGGGGATGACACATGAGCTTAGTGCAATGGAGGCCACTCCAGGGCTTGTTCTATACACGGCTGATTTATTTTTACAGATAACCTATCTAAAAATGTTTGGATGGAATTTGTCAAATTGTTTAGGTTTGTTATATTCTCGCTGCGCTCAACACGAATGTCCCGGTTTCACGTTCAGAACAGGAAATAAAACAGGAGAGGATTCTTTTCATTCTTCAGGGGATGAAACAAGGAGATCTGGATCTGCTGAGGGAAGAATGGAAATACTTTAGGTGTTAATTTATTGGCTCTTTCACAAAATCCCACTGGATGGATTATATGCCTATCTATTTATCTTTTCCAGTTCACATTTGTTCATGAAGATCCCTTGCTTGTTATGTCCCATGTTACTCATAAAACACAGAAAACTACTCTCCATATCCCATTTGAAAGAAAAAAAAAAAAAAAACCCACGGCAGATGTGTCGATATCTCCAACACATTTTAATGCGACAACAAGCTCCGTGAAAACTGCTGAAAGCTATTAATAACGCTGGTTCTCCCAGGTGGTGGGAGCTGGGAGGATGGAGGCTGTAGTGTGTGAATGGCTGGGGGTGCCTGACCTGGGAGTGCTGCTCCAGGGCCTGAGTGTTCTCCTTCTGCAGCAGGCTCAGCTCTGCTTCGAGCTTCTGGCAGAGAATCTGTAAGTGACTGTGGGAGCTCTCCAGGGCTTGTTTCTCAGCGAGGAGATTCATCATCTCCTGCTGCACCCGTGCCGTCTCCTCCCTGGCTGCTGCCCGCTCCGCTTCAGCTTCCCGTCTACGCTCACCAAGCTCTGCCTTCTCACCTTCTGTCTGGAACGGGAAACAAAACGTTCAGCTAACGTACCGTTCAACTTTCGCCTAAAATCAGTGTTACCAGGCAACTGCTCGCCTACCGACCTGTAGCAGAACACGGTTGAGTTCCACTTTGTCTTTGGCTAAGCCTTCGCAGAGGGCAGCCATTTTGGCCAGAGAATCTTTCAGTGCAGCCTCTTGATTCTGCAGTTTGGTGAGGATTAACTCCTGCGCCGCACTCTGGGACTCCATCTGTGGAGTGCATCATAAATATTAGAAGGATTTCAAACTACCCTCAGGGAGAATAATCCAGATCAGGCAACCAGACATGGTGCCTGACATAGCAGTCAAGTCTACCTTGCTGAGAGCCAGAGCGAGGCTGGCCTTATCATCCTCCAACACTTCCTTCTGCAGTGTGATGTGACTCAGATTCTCCTTCACTGTCACAAGCTCCCGTCGCAGGTAAGAGTGCTTCCCTTCGAGCTCCTCCAGACTCCTGTCACTGAAACACAAAATGCATCAAATACATGATCCTCTCACTCTGTTTCTCTGTCTCACACACACACACATTATTTGTATGAACAAAATCCCTTAAGAGTAATCCATCTCCACTTTGAAAGATGTAGAAATTCTGGTGCCAAAGGCCACAACACTGAGGGAGTAATTTTTTTGTTATATAGCATGCCCTGCTCCAATTCTCAGCTAATCAAATTTTTTAAGCAAAAGAACCCCCCCTAAAGAGAAGAAAAGTTTCCCTCTTGCATGAGTGCAGTAATGCAATGTAAATCATTTACATTTTCATCCAAATGTCATCTGGAGAATGACATGTGTTACTGATCTGAACTCTAAACAAACCGGAGCTTGAAAACAATCGCGAGTGACGGGATGTGCGTTGTGCAACGGTCATTCTTTCGTGCTCATGCTGTACCCTCTCTGGGCCTCTGTGCGCTGGCGTGCCAGCTGCATCTCCAGATCCTCCCTCTGCTGCCTTAAGAAGTCCCGCTGTCTCTGGAGCTCCAGCGACGAGCCCCGCAGTACCTCCAGCTCGGCGCGCTGGGAGTCCGCCTCCTGCTGCAGCCCTGACAGCAGCTTCTCCAGGCTGGCCTTCTCACTGAGAGGCATGGAGGTAGAGAGGCAGAGAGAGAGAGAGAGAGAGAGAGAGAGAGAGAGAGTATGTTGAGGGCAATTGTTGCACAATGATCGTTAACATCAGCATTATCAACACACTTGATTTTTCTAAAACCAATATCAACATAACAAACATCTGTTCTACAATGTTATACAAGCATTGTTTTTGGAGAGGTTTCAGTACACTTAAATACGTTCTGATAATGATGATGCTTAATTAAACATAAAACCAAACTATAATATTTGCCATCATTATCGTAATCATTACAACACTTACATTTTTTTTTCCAAAAACAACACGTAGGCCTAATGGCAACTTCACAAATAACAAAACAAAGTCTAGAAAATTCTTAAGAGAATTACACAACTAAGCAAAAGTACAAAAGTCACTACTTTTTATCTACAGTTTTGAAGCTCTGACACAATTCAGGAAAAGGACAATAGCTACATGATCAGGATGTACCTGGAGATGAGCTCCAGTGAGCGGCAACATCTGTTGCTGTGTCTGAGGCTTTCCTCTAAGGCCTTTTTAGCCTCCTGATTTTCCCTCCCTGCTTCCTGGATCTTCTGCTCCAGCTCTCTCCTCTCGGTGTCCCTCTCCTGCAGGTGAATACGCAGCGTGTCCACTTGCTCCAGAGCGGCATCCAGACATGCGCGCAAATCCTGCGGTTTGTATGTGAGATAGGTCGATAGGTTACGACACCTGAATGATGTATCATTGCGTCGTTTTGAGAAAGCAAAAAGCGGGGGAAGACGTTTGTCGTACTTGTGTTTGTTTCTGGTGCTTGGAGAGAGCGCTCTGCACAGCCGTCAGAGTCGTGTTTCTCAGAGGAGACCGACCGCGGAGAGGTGAGGACACACTTTCAGAGCCGCTACTATCACCTTCTCCGCCAACCAACTAGACATTAGTTAGAGTAGGAAAAGAAGAGGAATTGATTTCTTGAATAATGACGAACTGCATATTTCATCTTAGTGCTTCGTTTTTTCGTTTCTGACCTGGTGAACATGACATACAATCTTTTGGAGGGCTTGGATCTCTGCGTGGAGGACCTCCATCTCCGCTTTATCCTCTGTTCTCCTCGTCTCCTGGGCAGGAAACCATTGAGGTCAGATAAGCAGCACACATAGAGCAAGCCTGACATTCCCCAGACTGCAGCCTTCTAGACAAGGAAGTCATGGAGTTTATCAAACCTAAAGTCCAGACTACAGCCAGTTTAGCCCCCTTAACCACCCGTCTATCTGCCACCTCCCACTTCTGATTCCTGGGGTCCCACCATCCTGTCCAGACTGATCTGCATGGTCTTGAGGCTGGCATCCTTCTCACTGTTCTGGCTCCGGAGGTGCTTCACCGTGTCGGACAGCTCCAGGATTCTAGGTACACCAACATGTAAAGTGAATGTACAGGGATCGAAATCACACACACACACACACACACACACTGAAAGACCATCAACACTATCATGTTCTCTGCATGGGGATTAACAATGACTCCTGATAAGATCAAAGGCATCTTAGATCCAGAATACAAAGGCACTGACATTCAGGAGACACACGGGAGATGGGACAGAAAAACTTGAATCTTCTTTATCAGAGCAGCAGTCACTGGAAGTAGCTTGATGTGCTGGATTTTAATGATCAAAGTCTCCAGTATGTGAAGTTTTGAAGTTTCATCTGGGGGGGGATTAAATTTGGCTTTTCATTCAGTCATAGGAAGAATTGATCAAATGGTTGCACTATACGTGACCTGGAGCTCAGAATTTCTATTTAAGTTTGATTTATTTGAGCCTTTTTCTTTCTAACTGGTCAGTCCAGTCTAGAGGCTGCAGAAAAATATGGATGAAGGGTTTGTTCTATGTTTCATATTAGATTCATAGTTATATGGCAACAATGGATTTACAAGATTTTGTGTATCAGTGGGACAAAGGTTCTTGATTTCTCAGGCATTAGAAAGAAACAGACAGTTATTTATCTACAAATAGTTCCTGACTTGATTTTCAGCTAGGTGGAGGCAACGTGGGAACAGTTAGATACAACTTAGGTGAAAATGATCTTAACAGAACATTAAGTTGACGTTGGGTCTTAATGTGATGGGCAAAGTTACTGAAGATGTATTGAAATGTATTGACTTTTGTGAAATAAGTTGAGGCTTTTCTTAGTCGCTCATAGTCACTGAGACACAATGTCGTTCATAACAGCTGCCGTTCTCAGAGAAAAAAGAAGCCAGCCTTGTTACAGCCAGGCCCCCGATGGACGGACAGGTGTGGAGATGGCTTCACCTGGTGTTGAGTTCAACTTTCTCTGCATCCCAGCGACCCTGAAGCTGCATCGCCTCTTTCAGCTTGTCCTTCAGCTGCCTCTCCAGCGCTGACATCTCCGCACCACTAGAGGTGCTCTCCTGTGTCACTCTGGCCTCTAAGTTCATGCAGGCGACATGCAGCTGCCGGCTGGCAGAGACACACTCCCCGCGCATATCAGACAGAGTCCTGTTGAAAAGATTCATGTGCATCACGGTTTACAGAATGAGTCATAACGTACGACAGCTCCGACAGAGAAAGGGAACATGACATGCTATTTGCAGTCTCACAGTTGTGAGCCATTAGCCTAATTAAAAAACAGTCTGTTTGTATTTGAAAAGGATGAACGTCTGTTGCGATTACGCTCTGGCATCAAGATTCACTTTGAAGTGTTGTCACTAAGTTACACTACAGCCTTTGGCTTGATCACAGCTGTCTATGAGCCGAGCAATCAAATTATTACTATTAAAGCAAATTACTCTTCAGCGCTGCTCGCAGAGGTTCAACATGATGGAGGCCGTGTCTCATAGGGCTCAAGCTTTGTCCTGATGGATGATTTCAACAGCGAGCAGAGACACCTTAAGCCATCTGTCCCCCCAGTGAGGAAACAATGAGCAGGGGGACCGGCGACCCCGTTGACCTGTTCCACTTTGATCCTCGGCTGAGAGAAATAGACTGTGAGGTGGGGGTTCTTGTGGAATCCTGGTTTGCTGGAGGGATCCTGGCAGCGTGCCACACTCACCTGTCAGTGAAAGTCCTTAGCTGGGTGAAAGTGCTCCGCAGGGAGGAGGCCTGGCGCCACAGAGCTCTGACACGAGCCTGTTCGCGACTCAACCGGGAGGCACATGTCTGCAGAGAGGAGCAGACGACAAGGGAACTGGAGACTCTAGGGTGGGTGGTAAAGGCTTGCTTACAGCAAATGATGGCACCTCTCATTTTTATTGTGATATCAAACAGATGAAATACTGGAACTCTAGGACTCTCACTGGCACACATACAAATAATTGGATTTCCCTGAATCAACAGATGTAGCCCATTTCCAGCACGAACACCAGATTGTTTGCACAAAATTTTCCTCCCCCTCAGCAGTTGGAATGTTTTCACAGGAAACAACAACTCAAAAATCACAGCAATGAAATGAACAGGGAATGAGAATGAATTGACGAAACTGGCTATGAATGGAATTCCTACCCCATGTAAACTCAACGGGAGTTTAATTGCACAATCTCTGTGCAGAAAAGGGATAAACTTGAGCTTCCCCTGTTGCTTTTTTGACACAAGCGTTTCATTTTTGTGGTTTTTCTCACCTCTTGCTCTCTCCGCAGACGAGTATCACACAGCTCAACGTCTTTGCGGGCCTTCCACAAGCTCTCCGTTAGCCCCTGGTTGACGGTGCCTGCCTGCTCCAGTTGTTCCCGCAGCATGGAGTTTACTTGACTGAGGCTGGCACACCTGGAAATAACAAGCTGCTTATGACACTCAAAAGACCATTTGGCTCCTCTTCCCTGTCATGACGGCCTTTGCTGTAAACCTGCCACAGCACCCAAACGCTATCGTTCATATATATACGTCTCTCTCTATCACTTGAGCCCCGCCAACCAACGTTTTATAACGTCTGTGTCAATTTAGATTTAATTTCAACCAGATCATATACAAAAATGTATGTATGACATCATGCTCACACTCAACACGCATGCTGCTACAGTAAAGCACGCCACATTGCTATATTTGCTTATCTGTCTGAGGCCGAGCCAAACCCGTGTTTGCATGTATGGTATGATATTGCGTTGAAAGGGAGCTGAGACGTAGAGAAAGAGGGATTCAATAATCACAATAATAAGCAAAAACCTAGCTGTAGATTTATCTCTACATTACATTTGCATTACAAAGTTCTGTGGTTCATATAGCTTGGTAAAGCTGCAGTGAGGGATGTTTTTAGCCAGTAAAAAGGATCCGATCCTGGCAAAGTTTCTGCTGTGGGCATTTCAAATAAATATCCATAACTGCATGTATCACTGGGCATTAAAATCCGGCCTTAGGTGCAGCGGTAGGCCCGTACTTAATGTGAAGCATTGTTAAAATGCTTTGGAGAAGAGGGCCAACAAAGCCCCACTAATTTTCTCTGACAAATTGGATCCTGAGATTATCTGCCAAAGCCAGGTTCTGCCTTCCCCCCTGATGCAGGGGCAGGGAGAAAAACAGCAGGAAAGCTCAAGGAACTGCAGGGAATATCTCTGGTCTGCACATTTCCCAGAAAATATTTCGGCTTGATTTCTGCTCTTCAACGAGAAACAGAAAAAGAACGAGAATTACCGCCTGGCGGTCGCATGCCTCTGCCAGTGAAGTTGCAGTTTACATCCACGTCTGTCCAGACTCGTATAATATATGTAGTGTAAACTTTGAAAGGAATTTAATAAACGAATTCCAAACTTTTTCGAAAACTGTATTATTTATGAATATAGAAGCTGCAAGTTCATTTATTAGCTAGGTAACCCGGCTACCTGCTCTGCATGGTGCCCATCCCTCACCTCCTGTGCTCCTCCTCCAGCTGAGCAGACTTATCCTGAACGGCCATGTTGAGATCCTGCTCTGTCTGCTGCTGACGCTGGGCTGAGTCCAGGTGTTGGGCCTGCAGCTGAACACACACACACACACACACACACACACACACACACACACACACACACACACACACACACACACACACACACACACACACACACACACACACACACACAAACACACACACACACACACCACCACTACTGGCATCCTGATAACACTTCATTATATGGTAGCAGTAGTAAGTTAGCAGTTACCTAATATTTATAAAGCAACATAATTACAGTGGAAACCTGCTAAGCCAAACTCTCTTTGGCAGCCACAAAGCCAAGAATAATATTTGGAAGAATTAAGTATATTCAAATAAAAGCGCAAAATCTTCAAGTCACCACATGAAGAGTCCGTGTCCTACGTTTCAGTTCTGCACGATTCCTTTACTGGTTGTTAAAGTCATGCTTGCACAAACACGTGGATTCAAACTAATGAGCATAAAGTTGTCACGGGGAGATATGATGTTTCACAGTTCTGTCTGAATGAATTCTAATGCGTTAAAAAAAAACTAAACAAACAAAAACGAAAACGTTTGCTTTCATGGAACAAACATGAGTTTAATTCTTTAAAATAATTTTGTGACATGCTGACATTATGGTAATGCTGTAACAACGAAAATTATTGGACTACACTTTTTATTTGAAGAACCTAATACTGTAAAAATGGGAAACTGCTTAATGAGTCTTTAATTATGCTAGCAAGGCAATATTAGTTAATCGGTCAGTTCCAAACATGGTGGTTGGGTGTAAGGAGCAGACTCGCCTCTAGAGGACCCTAGAGGTCTTGAGGATTTAAATCTAAGCAGTCCTGATGCTACAGTCCAGACCTACCAACAATCTCATCTTCTCAGACTCTGAAGTCTTCTCCAGCACTTGTTCTTCTAGTTCCCCACACCTCTTCTTGTACTGAAGAACCTGGTACAAAACAAACAGAAGGCGCACAGTTGAGCCAAAGGAACTTTTATCTTTATCACTCTGAAGTGTGAACTCCGTTGTTAGTCACCTTGGTCTGCAGCTTCTGAACAAGTTGGGCTTGTCTCTGCTGGGCCTCCTGGTAGACCTGCAGCTTTTGTCTGTAAGCTCTCTCCTTGTTCTGCAGTTGCAGGGCCGCCGGTGACACACTCTCCTGGTCCGAGTCCACCGCCGACTGCAGCATCAGTATCTGATCGAGCTGGATGGAGTGGGGACAAATGAACTTCAGCAAACTGGACAACATGACACGATATTCCACATTAACATGGATGGTACGTATAATGTGATCTACTACAACAGCCCTGAGATAACTCCTTAGTTTACAATCAGAATCAGAAAGAAATTAACGATCGCTGCTGGGAAATTGTTTTGTTACAATTGCTCAACACTCAGTTTGGAAAGGAGAAAATAAGTAATGACTAGTATAAAACCACTGTTATCCTGGACTACTACAGTGACAATAATAAATGCAGAGTAAGTGAAAATGTTAATGTGGCCCCCACTGTAAGATTTATGGAAACATAAACGCGAAAATGGAAACGTGCAAAGTAGATCAATACTAACTGCGCCGAACTGTGAGTCCATCCCACCATTCACAAAGGATTTATTCCGCTCCAAACGTGCTGGACTGGGAGTACTTAACAAACTGGTAACTCTAGTCTATCTCATCTGTTTTATCTGGATGCACCAATGATGAATAGTTGGGCTAAAGGGTAAGTTAGCGTTCAGACGAGTCATTGAGCAGTTTTCAACAGTGGGTGGGTTGTGTTTGAGAAAAAAAAAAATGAAGTTACTGCATGGGAACTTTGCTCAATGAATTCTGTGAAAGCAAGTTCATGCCAAAAAAGATCTAACAATACACAACTCATGACTGGTATCTACTATCATCACATGATTCAATGATATCACTGAGGATGAGATTTAAAATATTTGCTTTTCCCTACAGGAACAAAAAGCCAATAGTGACCAGACAAATTACAGATCTACAGTTTTAATTTACCGTGAGGGTTGGACAAACAGCGGCTTAAAGGTGGGGTGAGGTGTTAATGTGATGTCCAAGTACAGCACGTCTGTATACTGGTTAATGCGTGTATGGCTGTGTGTGTATGTGTGTGTGTGTGTGTGTGTGTGTGTGTGCAATGTATCTGTCAAATGCATCTAAAAACAAAGATATACAAATGTACTGGTCTTTCTCATGGTGGAATCTCATATCCTCTCCCATATCTGAAATCCAAATGTCCTGTAACCTCTCAACCTCACACAACCTAAACTCCCTCTGCACCACCCACTCTCTATCCTGGTGCCAGACACCCTGTCCTCACTAATACAAACCACATGGCCCTAGAGCACTACAACACACTGCGTGCCTCCAGCTGCCCTTGCCGACTTCTCATTTAAAAAGAGAGGAAGAGAGCCCCCTCCCCTGCAACACACTCCAAACCACCATCCAAGCCCTTCAAATCAACCCTGCGACCCACTCCCTCCCTCCTCTCTTCTGTACCTCATCTCTTCTCTGGGTGCTTAATCTCTCCAGCAGGCTCCAAGAGAGCCAAGACAATAGTCTCACTGTTCAACACTGGACCCAGCCACTTTGCCACCATTATTAACACATTTCCAAATGTCCTTTTCAGAATTTTATACTACAAACTCCACTAACGGCCATCATGCACTTGGCTCTGTGCTTTTGGTGTTTTTCTCTGAGGACCTGGAGAGCACAAAAGCTTCTTTTACTGCCCGTTGTTGAGGTGACAGCTTTAGAGACTGAGAAGGGAGGAACAACATGGGCGGAGTGTTTGAAACACACAGAACTGCAGCAGCTGTGTTTAAAGGGACTCCTGGAAACAGCTGTGTGTGGAGCATTAGTGAATATGCATCTTTTCAAGTATTTTGGCACAACTAAAGCAATAACACTGCCTCACTAACAAGCATGCTCTTTATAAATACACCTTCAATACATGGCCAGAGCACACAAGGTTTATAACAGTAACCACTTACGTAAAAAAAAAAAAAAAGTGCTTTGATTAGATAATAATGGTTCATTAAAGGCCCTTGCCGTTATACTTTAAAAGGTACAATGTGGAGTTTTTGACCACTAGCAGTGCTATGGAGTAACATTTTCATGGGAATGTTCCTGTTTTGATGTTTTGATTGCACATAGTACAAGACACAGTCCTGTTTTCACACTGAATTTAAACAAAACTTTGTCTGCTTGCACCAATCCCTAAAACAAATTAGCAATTGATAAGACTGTCACAAACGATGCACACAGTGAAACTTGTGGAGCTTCTGGAGCTGCAAACTGCAAACCGTCATGAAGGCCAATGTCATTACCGCAAGCTCTAGTCTGGAAGTGAAGTAGAACTTTTCTCATTTTGAACTTGACTTTTCGTATTTTCTCTGTGTCGTCTTCCTAAAACGAAAGATGTCATCGGAACACCTGCACTGGAGGGGCAACGCAACTTCCCTTGAGCTGGAAGGTCGTGTGAATTAAACAGATCTCATAGATTTCTTTCTATAGGGGCACATTTTATCTGTCGCCAACTGTCGCTGCTGTAGACCACACCTTCCCTGCCGCGCTGTGCACTCAGTGACCAGGTGTCCCTGGCAAGTCCTAAAGGTCCCGACTCTGCCCCGGTGAGGAGGGTTGTTTGCGCTTTTTCATACATAGCTGCAGTGTGTGGGCTTCTTGCCAGCGCCTCGCCCCTGTTCCACACACTACAGAGAGGACGCTTTTTTATGGTTTCTCCCCAGTCAGCTGTAAAGCAGGAGGCCGGGGGCTGCTCTGGATTAGCCATGCTCCATTCAGGAAGCTCCCAAGAGGACGCCATAACAGTCTGCTGTGGAGACCCCCACCTTCACTAAACTCTCCTACACTACCATCTAACTCCCTTGCTCTGCTTGCATCATTAAATCTCATCACCCTCATCTCCAAGTGAGCTTGAACTCATTGTTCTTCTCAACACACCCATCCAGCGGTGACTGTAAAAAGGCAAAAGAGAGAGGCGAGTAATCCCAGTCCTCCATCTGCCCTAACTCAGGGGCTTACAGGCCTTACTGGGGGCCCAGAAGTGTGCTCACTGAACACCCTTGCTATTTACGATCTGCCTCGGAGTACAATCGCTCTCGGGCAGCCTTCGCAGCCCTCTAAAGTGGGCTGTGCCCAATCCCAATGTAGCCTGACTCTTTGAGGTAATCTACTGCCATTTTGCAATAATGTTCAAGATGCAATTTATACAAAAACAGCCCTTGTGTCATGGCATGTTTTATGCCTCCATATGGTTGCTATGGTTCCTTTTATTTTTTTCAATCCCAAGTATCTGTTTCTTGAGCCCTGCTTATGTTTCCAAAGTAAAAGACTTTTCAGCCTCTTAAAATGTGCTTTGAATTAGCTTTTTATATTTCTTGATATTTATGATTTGTGCCACTCCTTGTATTGTCTCTTTTGATAAATATTTCAAACAACATCAAGGGATAATCTTGCTTTGATTCATCTGCCAACAAGCAACAAGAGAATCATTTTCAAGGCCCTTGTGAAGCCTTTGGTATTTGGCCAAAAGTTGCTGCTTTGCTTATGTGGTAGATCAAAATCCAATCCATTTCAGTTACCAAGTTATGATTATGATATTCTCTCACTGACCAAATGTCACAACATTTGGAGATCCAATAACACCAGTTCATTTAATCTTTCAACTGAGTTTTTTGAAATGTCTTGGAATTTTCTCCTCTTCTACTATATAAAACCAGCACTGTTTATCCATACCTGTTTATCTGTACAGAAATACATTTCCAGGCTTATCCAGCAACTAGTCCACATCTTTCTTTCTATCTCTGACTCACCCAGGGCGACATCTGGCCATGAGTGCACAGTCCAGCCAGCATGTGAAGGGTTACAGCTGCAATCGTTTTCCCTGGCTTGGCCTGGGCCCAGAGGCTTAATAAAGGGAATTAATGGAGTGCACTATCTGTCAGATTCCTAAACACAGCTGGAGCGGATGTCCATCGTCCCCAAGCTGCCCAAAAAACTTACTATCCTACTTCAACAACATACCCATTACCCCCTGAGTGCTGACTCTGTGAAAGAGCCCCAGCTGATTGTGAAAGCTGTTTATGTATCATCACTGACTGTAATTACACAATGTGGGATAACAAACAGGGAGAAAGGGGAGCGCGGATGGGGAGCTGCTGTGCGTTTGTTGCCATGGAGTGAACGTTTTGGTTACGGGGACAGCTGCCGTGATGGCATACAGGGATACAAGTGAGCTGTGTAAATACAGCCAAACTAATAATACATGCTGTGTACTCACAAGCATGTGTCTGGCCTTGCACCACTTAACACAAATGCCCCCGGCAAGGACAATGCAGTACAAAATCGACACACACACACACACACACACACACACACACACACACACACACACACACACACACACACACTCAAGTCAGTTCAAGACTTCACATTTGATTAGACACTCTTGACATGCAAAAAAGAACTGAAAAGTGTGTTTAATGTTTGACTTTAAAGTCAGGTAACATGAGTAGCCGAGAAGAGAGAAGAGAAGCCTTTGGGGTATCATCTATCTGTTTCTAGTGGGACGGAAGACATTAATAGTAACAGCCGCAGCCACATACTTCTGCTAAAGTGGGCACCACAGGCTGGGCGTGTGCCGCAATCCATCCACACTCGCTCGCCCTGACTACTTTGAGGGTAATCTACTGCCAATTTTGCAATAATGTTCAAGATGCAATTTATACAAAAACAGCCCTTGTGTCATGGCATGTTTTATGCCTCCATATGGTTGCTATGGTTTCCTTTTATTTTTTTTCATATCCAAGTATCTTGTTTTGAGCCCTGCTTATGTTTCCAAAGTAAAAGACTTTTCAGCCTCTTAAAATGTGCTTTGAATTAGCTTTTTTATATTTCTTGATATTTATGATTTGTGCCACTCCTTGTATTGTCTCTTTTGATAAATATTTCAAACAACATCAAGGGATAATTCTTGCTTTGATTCATCTGCCAACAAGCAACAAGAGAATCATTTTCAAGGCCCTTGTGAAGCCTTTGGTATTTGGCCAAAAGTTGCTGCTTTGCTTATGTGGTAGATCAAAATCCAATCCATTTCAGTTACCAAGTTATGATTATGATATTCTCTCACTGACCAAATATGTCACAACATTTGGAGATCCGTCCAATAAACACACAGTTCATTTATCTTTCACTGAGTTTTTGAGAAATGTCTTGGAATTTTCTCGCTTCTACTATAACTAAAAACCAGCAACTGTTTATCCATACCTGTTTATCTGTACAGAAATACATTTCCAGGCTTATCCAGCAACTAGTCCACATCTTTCTTTCTATCTCTGATCACCCAGGGCGACATCTGGCCATGAGTGCACAGTCCAGCCAGCATGTGAAGGGTTACAGCTGCAATCGTTTTCCCTGGCTTGGCCTGGGCCCAGAGGCTTAATAAAGGGAATTAATGGAGTGCACTATCTGTCAGATTCCTAAACACAGCTGGAGCGGATGTCCATCGTCCCAAGCTGCCCAAAAAACTTACTATTTTCATCTCAACATACCATTACCCCTGAGTGCTGACTCTGTGAAAGAGCCCCAGCTGATTGTGAAAGCTGTTTATGATGTCATCACTGACTGTAAATTACACAATAAGTGGGATAACAGAGGGAGACAGGGGAGGCGGATGGGAGGGCGTCTTGTGTGCCATGGAGTGAACGTTTTGGTTACGGGACAGCTGCCGTGATGGCATACAGGGATACAAGTGAGCTGTGTAAATACAGCCAAACTAATAATACATGCTGTGTTACTCACAAGCATGTGTCTGGCCTTGCACCACTTAACACAAATGCCCCGGCAAGGACAATGCAGCGTACAA